ATCTTGCGGATCCTTAGGTTTTCAGCCTCTGCCCCAAGACCTCCTAAGCTAACGCTGCATCCACTTCCACCAGGTCAAGAACCCTCAGACCCACGGTACATCACGCAACATGTACACTGACTACGAAATCGTTTGCCGCACCAACATTCCCGCTTTCAAGCTCAAGCATAGCACGGTCCGTCGGCGATACTCCGATTTTGAATACTTCCGTGATATACTGGAGCGTGAGAGCGCGAGGGTGACTATACCGCCATTGCCGGGAAAGGTTTTTACGAATCGATTCAGCGATGATGTTATTGAGCACCGGAGGGAGGGACTGCAGCGATTCCTACAGATTGTAGTAGGCCATCCTTTGCTGCAGACGGGGAGCAAAGTGTTGGCGAGTTTTGTGCAGGGTGAGTATTCTACATCAGGCAGGGAGGGTTATGCATCTATGTGGAAGGGCTAATGCTGGTATAGATCCAAATTGGGATAGGAACTCATGGTGAAGCGTGATGAGAACTCACGTAAGGACTGTTAGGATGATTATTATGTACAGCAGCGGTCTACTTATTCTTTCAGCAATCACAGCGAACTGAGCGAATGGCGTCCAGTGGCAAGGGACAACAAGTCAATCAAGGCATTGTACAGAAGTTTCTTCATGTACCGAGTTAACGAGGCTGTCTCTCTTCTGCTTCCTGTTGCTGTCACTATGTGGAAGGCCAGTATCGTGACAAGGAAGCACAACAATACGTTTCTTTCATCATTAGGCGCCTTTTCCATGCGAGACCTCCGCCCTTACTATAATCCATCTCAGTGTTACTCTTTCTTCCTGTCTTCGTGCCTAGCAAAGCCTTCCACCAGTCTATAAGGTTTCCTCCGATTTTCAATGCTGCTTGCTCTGGGAGTATCAAACATCTATCTTATCACTGCCTCGTGTTGCTTTCTCCTTTTTTGTGCCAGTCTCATACCCCAGACTCGTTCCATATAAACATACACTATCTTTCGATTTCTGTGCATCATGGCTGAACTTCCGACTTCGAACTTAACTAGCTCAGACATTTCAACATCTGAAAAACAGAAACTCAGGCAATTTGATAGGGAAAAGACTGTTCGAACGCTCATTTGGAAGGAATCCATGAGTAGCCCAATGCGACCTCAGCAATGTCAAATCCAACAGATATACCACCAGGTATAAAGGCTTGAAGAGCCTCTTGATGCTTTGGGGGGAGGATAGAGGTCGCTTTCAAACTACGGACAGATTAAGTTTGAGAGAGAGAGGTCGAATTGCATGACAGCGTTCTGGAAGTCGAATTTGGGAGTGAGCGATACTTGACACTCCATCCCTTCTGTGAATGGAGACATGAGACTCCTAACATTTGTGTCATTGCAGAGGATCTCAATGGTTACATCAGATGCTCGGAGGGAGAGCCCGGACCAAGAGATTCGAGCCACGGCCGGGCGAGATTAAAATTTGGTTGAAAGGGACCTGATAAGGACGCAGGTACAAGCAGCTGCCCAAGCGTGTCCTGCCATGTCGGCGCTGCCGGCGAGGCGAGGTCGGAGGAGGGGCATCGGCGCAAAAAGCAGAAAGCAAAGGGTATGGATATCAACCAGAGTCAGAAAGTGACTACAAAGAATAGACGCGCAACCTCTGAGGGCTATTTTCGGTTAACTTCATGTTAATGGCTAGCTATGGGTAGAACCTTGAAGTTGAACGACCTCGACCATTCTGGATGGATGCGGTGTCAACATTTTTAGGAAGCCCGAGGGACGATGCATCTGGCTCGGCCTTTGACGCCTGTGACGCCCTTGGGGTAACCCGTAGGGTGTCCAATTTGACTCATTCAATCACTCAATCAATCACTATCAACATGCACAGCTGTACCTTTTTATTGCCAAAGTGTGATGCGAGTTCGCTTCCCAAAACCGTCTCGAAGTTGCTGTTGATCTCTTTTCCACACAGACTTAAAAGCAGGTAAGCAATTGCCATTTCATGCAAAGCAGCAATTCCTATCTTCCGCCTATAATACGTGGTATCCCTATTGACCGCGAAATTTCTTCAGAAGCTTACTACTAGAGCCTCTCTCTTCTGTCAAACAATTATCTATATATCAACCAGTTCTCTATCGTTGGTCGCAGGCAGACTTTCGCGAGTACTAACACTTCCCCCTTTCGAACTCATCAGTGGCATCGAATTCACCCTGTTCTTCCATACTTTGTCGTCATGGCCACTTTCGCCGCGCCCCAAATACCTGCAGGCAGGAATGTCATGAGGTACCTCAAAAAGCTTGAAGAAAGATCATCGAACAGGAAGCAACGCAGTAAGCTGATCATCCTGCTCTCCAGCTTCTTCCTGAACGTTGAGACCCTTGACTTACACTCTCACAGTTGGCCGTATGAGCAACCGCATCGACTCCAAGAACCACACGATCAGACGTCTGCGCAGCTAGCGAGACATTCTACGGCGGGTTGCGCAGGCACTGTTGAGGCAGGTTCAGGAGAATGATGATAAGGGAAACGAGGAACCGGAACATACGAAGGTAGTTCAGGAGAACGTTGATAATGAAAGAGAGGAGCTGCGTAAGTCTTCCCAGTTTGACAGGCAACAGCCATATGTTTTACTAAAAGTCTCTCCCAGTCATTTCGGCGTTGCGACGAATCAAGAAGCTAGAGTAGCGACTGGATCGAGTCCGTGCCGAGCTCGAAGACGAGAAAAACGATAACCTTTATTCGCAGCGCAGCTTCAGCCGATGAAAGAAGCTCGAGCGTAGGAAAAAGAGCTCGGACTGGTTTCAGTCTTTATGGGCGAGGCCCGCTTCACGATGTCGCCGGTCGACGATACCTATGCTTGCGCTGTTGCACGCCAGAACGCCTTGGCGGTTCAAGTCACAGCATAATTAGGGAACGACAATGCCACTACGAAGGCTATGCTGGGGATCACTAGGCGCACGTTGCTATCCGGCGAGGCAGAGGAATAGGGCGGCTTCCATTTCATACGTGGAGTATTCGGTACAAGGGCGTTTACGGTCTAAAACTTAGGTTCTGCGTCGAATGGTTATGGGAAAGCGCATGTAACCATCAGATTCGGTCGGAGATTGGGTGTCAGCTGAAGACAAGAGGTGTACTCCGTGTAGATGAGGACGTTGGCGAGTGGCTGGCTATTCATGAGTGGGATTATTCTCCGTGGATCCCTAGGTAGGAAAGCATGAGCGTGGTTGCTATTAGAAGCAACTCATCAATACTAGATATTGAATGATAAGGACTGAATCTGTTTCTTGCTTTTCTTTTCACGAAGACCGTCTGCCTTGCCATTAAGCCCATAGCTTGTAGGCTTAGGTGTGCCAAGCTCAGATACTGTATTCCATGGAAAGAGGCAGGCAAGGTGTCAGAAAAGAAGGCATTGAAAGGGCTAAAGATTCTCAGAAATTCAAACAATCCAGCATCATTGAGGAAGATGCTGAATTTTCTAACACTTTCAGTGAGCAATCTCAATCACGAATAACAAATGATTATCCGTTGACGTCCTAAATCGACGTGAGAATGAAGGCGCTTGGCGCTCGCTACTTGACAGATTACCGCGAAGCCTTAGAATCTTGGCGCCAAGGCTCGCTTAAGCGGCCCCACCACTTCGCCTGGAGACCACAAAAATCGTGATCAAACGAACTAACCTCCGCCCAAGTCTCTACAACGTCGACTCAGTGATATCGCCATCATGGGTCGCGGACCGTAAGTACAGCATTTTCGTCATCATTGACGGTTACTCAGAAGACTCTGGCTAAAATCACTGTAGGAAGAAGCATCAGAAGCGTCTCAGCGCGCCATCGCACTGGCTTCTGGACAAACTGTCTGGTGCCTATGCGCCTCGCCCATCGCCAGGTCCTCACAAGCTCCGAGATTGCATGCCACTCATTGTCTTCATCCGTAACCGGTGAGCTTGAACAGCTTTTGTCCAAACCAAGCAGACCTTACTAACTTCTTCCAGACTGAAGTATGCTCTCAACTCCCGCGAAACCAAGGCCATCGTCATGCAACGCCTCATCAAAGTCGACGGCAAGGTTCGCACCGACACCACGTATCCCGCCGGCTTCATGGACGTCATCTCTATCGAGAAGACTGGCGAGAACTTCCGACTTGTCTACGACACAAAGGGTCGTTTCACAGTCCACCGCATTACCACTGAAGAGGCGGAATACAAGCTGGCAAAGGTCAAGAGGGTGCAATTAGGCAAGGGTGGAATCCCATTCTTGGTTACGCATGATGCACGAACGTGAGTTTGTTGCACTCTTTCAGTCGTTGGACCAAGTTTTGGTGGCATTCCTAATTGAGGGGCTGACTGGAAGTCATACTGTAGGATTCGCTATCCGGACCCTGCTATCAAAGTGAATGACACAGTCAAGATCGATCTATCGACAGGCAAAATCAGCGACTTCATTCGCTTTGATACTGGTGTTATTGCAATGGCAACAGGTGGTCGTAACATGGGCCGTATTGGTGTGATCACACATCGCGAGCGTCACGATGGAGGCTTCAACATTGTGCACATCAAGGATGCCATAGACAATTCCTTTGCTACTCGGGAAACTAATGTTTTTGTCATTGGCAACGAGAAGCCATGGATCAGTCTGCCTAAGGGTAAAGGAGTTAAGGTACGACAGTGGTGGAGCTGTTCTACGCAATCACGTGACAACATGCTGATTGTGAATAGCTATCAATTGCAGAGGAGAGGGATCGTCGTCGTGCATATGCAATTGCAGGTCACTAGGTTACGGAGGACATCGTAGGATGTCGAAGCGAGGAATAGCCTGGCACAACCAGCTTGGCTTCAGATCTTAGACTCTAGCTTTACAGAAGATTCAAACTGCGTTCGAGTATTGCCGTGCTTTTACGCTGGACGACGGCGTAACAACAAGGGCATCATCCTAGCCTCTAATGGCGGCATACCTTCAACCTACATAGACATTCCCGCTTAATTCGCCTATGTCTGCAACCACATTCGTCAAGGTAATGGCTACCCGTTCCTATATATTTTTCTTGATTGTCTTCTTCGTGCTATTGACCACTTTATCCTGCCCCAAAAAACCCGTCAAGTACAGTACCCTGGTCAGAAAAAGCCCAAGCGTAACCCCAATATTGCCCCACGCCATTGAGTTCCATCCTTGCACATCTATGAAGTCCATGTAACCCCTGAATTATAATTTCAGAGTCAGTATTGCATTTCATAGAGGGTATATCAAGACTTCGAACATGTCCAAAAGGGTAGAAACTTCCCAGATATCTCTCAAGAATCAAGATTTAGTCTAAAGAATGCAACATAAACGTCAAAAATACGTACATTACTGCATACGTAACGTACAGGTGGCCTACGTCGGCAATGGCGCAGGCAAGCAGAAAGTTGCGCACGACTTTTGCTTCTGTTGTGGCGTAAAGAATGCCAACACCAACCATAGCAAGAAGTCCGTATACATTACCCAGTTGCTAATTTTAATTTCGGAGTCAGTACTGCTTATTCGAGAACTTTGCATTGCGCCTTGGAATATGTCTACAGAGTAGAAACTCCCAAGACATGTTTCCAGACTCAAGACTTGGTCCAATGGAGGAAAGACGGACTCCGGAAATACATACAAGGGCCAGGACGCGGTTTGTCGCTGTCGGCAATACGGTGGTGACTGAGGTTGCGGGAAGTTGAGAATTGACGAAGCTGGTTGTATCAAGCATTGGGGAGAGGTAGCCAGCGAGAAGGGCGATGGGCTCGAATACCGTGAAGATGAAGCGGGGAATCGGAGGCACTTCAAGCTCTCGGAGTCAGGATTCCTTCTTTAAGGTGTAAAAGAAGTCACAAGACAAGGTCGATGAGTACGATTCTGTTGAAACATCGGAGTGCAGATGTAGGAAGGAATCGCTCGGAAATGTAGACGTACGAATGGTAGCCATGTTTGCTGCAGATCGGCTGAGGCTCAAAGAGGAGAGTCGCAGAGGATGTGAATTTGGAGGTCCCTCGAGTACGGTAGCTGAAGCTGGCGGGCGACATCACAAGCATCGACACTGTGCATCAACAGCATTGTCGATGCCGAGCGGAACGATTCCGCCCCGGCTGCCATTTGGCGGGGCCGAGCATCCTGGCGCTGCAAGGCATCACCACCACTGATCGAAAATTCTACTTCTGCTCAAATTGCTGCATCACGTGATTCCGCGTGGAGTCTCTGGGGGCAATGCTTCCAGACCATCTGTGACTTCGTTATGAATATTCCAATGTTCGATGATATGTTTGATGATTTCCAAACCCGTCCCTCTCTACGGATTCCTCCCCTACAAGACCCTTTCCCCCCACTCTCGATTATTTCGCGAAGACCTTCTCCGTTGGAGCCTAATGCGCGCGTCAACATCGATAACGAAGCGAACAAGCTCACTGGTAGACAAAGAGCACTTGCGCAAGCGAAACCTCTGGGGGCGCCGGAACACAATGAGCTCGAAGCATCCATCACAGCCAAGCCTGCTGCACTCCCTGAAGCACAAGAGACGGAGCATCCGAAAGAGCGGCCCCGGAAGAAACAGAAGCTCTACGACCATGAACAAATTGCCGACTTCGTTCAGCTGCCTCGACCTCAGACAAAATTGAGAGAAGATAAACCGCGTCCGTTCCAGCCGATCTCGGTCCTCAACGAGCTGCATGAACCACCTCCAAGTGCAGCACTATTCCCTCCAATTACGCCAAATGCAGTTCAAGAAGAGCATGATAAATATCATTCTGGTGCTGGGCAATTTCCAAACCAGACCAAAGATCCCGGGCGTCCACCTGCTAGAAAGAGGAAGCCAAGGGTGCGCTCTACTGGCAGTTGTACCGCCAAAAGAATCTATACTCGAGAACGGACAGCGTGGACGGAAGAAGAGACTGACCAATTGGTCAAAGGTGTCGCAATCTATGGGATGGGAAGATGGAAAAGTATCCTTAACCACCCGGAATTGCATTTCCGTGAAGGCAGAACAAACATGGATCTCAAGGATCGGTATATGACATCCTATTGCTAGCTGTCCCACTCAGCGGCTGATCAATCTTTCTCAGGTTCCGCGTCGTGTTCCCCCCGAACGCACGGCACAAGTGGACTAGAGCAATGCCAGAGCCTCCAGACGACGACCAAGGTACGCTTGGCCACAAAAGAAACTTACCTCATAGTATCAACACCTAACCCTGTGCCAGAAGCACCCTCTGGCTACAAATTTGCGACCAAAGGGACTGCGAAGAAGTCTCCACTAAGAGCTCCAAAACGTCTCTGGACAGAGCAGGAAGATACCGAGCTTGAAAAAGGCTTCCAATTGTATGGATTTCAATGGAATCTCATGCTCAAGGATCCCGCATTGAATTTCGACCAAAGATCATGTGGCCAGATACGGGATCGGTTCCGCCTGCGATTCCCTGGCCTGTATAAGCAGCAGGATTCAACAGCCTCACCCAAGGAAAACCAAACATCTCCGAAGAAAAAAAAGCATGCAAAGAGCTCAACACGGACAAGGAAGACGGTGGATGATCCGAATGAGCCAGCGAATGAGGAAAGCGATGGGGGCGCGCGAGATAAGACAGGCTCTAAAACCGTACCAGCTTCCCATACAGAAGAGGAAGACCATAGACTCTCGAATTCGATTTTACACAATGACTGGGATTGGGATGAGAATCTCACTTTGGCTCCTTTGGCGTGGGAGGATATGGCTACGAGGCCCATGTTTCCATTCGATTGAGTCGAGCTCTTTTGAATAAGCGAAGAGCGGAACATAAAATTTTACCAGAGTAGCTGTATCGACCTTCAACATGCACAATTTCCAGACACAAAAAACTTTCTGTACGAGCTGATTCTGTACTTCCAACAACCCCTTCTCCCACCACAGGTTGCCCCACTGTACAGGGAAAAAAAGGCCTCGGGCTATCATCTATGAACTTAGTCTATCATCATGAGTAGATGACAGTATTCTGGTTTGTCATGTTATCTTATAGGAGCAGTGGAAGACAAAATATTTAAATGAAGGGCAGATGCAGCAAGTCAAGAGAGGGCTAGTTCCCGCTTTCATCGCCCCCGTGTTAAAGAGATCCTGCAATCCTCGAACCTTTGAACTTAAGTAGCCATAGTCCAAGGGAAGCAAAGCAGTGCACTAGTACAGCTACTTCGAAGGGACGTGCCAGGCCCCCAAGGCTTTTGATTCAAGAGATGGATTCGTCCGGGCTAGCCTCCCGTCCCAAACGTCGTTGCGATGGGCAACCAGGGCAAGAAATCCGGAGAAAAGGCCTCCAACCTTTGAACACGAATTGTCTTGGCCTTCACAGTTCATCAGAAGATGGACAATCCGTGCATGATGGAAGAATTACGTGTGGAAGTGCATCGCATAACGAATTGCCCGTATACTCCTAGCTTGAAGGTACCTAAGATCAAGGATGGGGGAAAGGAAGGATCTCTCGTTCCTCTTTCTGTCCTACGAGCGTTTTACGCAATTGTGAAATGATAAGAGAAGCTGACGCCCGAAAGCAGAAGCTCCATGACATTCTGCAAATTGTTGATGTTGGCATTCTGCAACTGTGGGCCCGAGGAAATCCTTGTCAGATTGGTACGTCTACATTTCGGAGCAATACCTCCCTTCCTAATCCGTGCCCCAATTTGTGTTCCGAGATACAATGAAGAGATACTGACTCTGAAAACCTGAAGACTACTTGGCCAGTACGTTATGATTTCCCAGGCAATTCTTCCCAATTCACGCTGTCCTGTGTGTCGGCAGACTTGTCTCGTGATTCCACATTCCTCCCGAAAGAGTAATGCTGACTCCGAAATCATAAAGTCGTAGTCTTAGAAGGTCTTGAGCTATGGCCTTTCACTATAGATGTCTTGACGGTTTTAGGTATGATCAGAAAAGCAGTAAGATGCCACTTGCTCACTAATCTTTTCAAGCGTCTATTCCTTCCTTCCGAAACGCTGCCTTGCAGCAGAAGCCAATGCTTTTCGAGACCCTTTCCACAAACGCCATAGACTCGAACTCAGGCTTCGATAAGGTACTCAACCGAGATTACCCTATGTGTCGCCAACGGAGTACTGACGGAAATACAGTATGCGGCCACCTGCGTTGCTTTGCTCTCTACATCGTCAGAACTCCCAATTCCCTCGAAGGTTCCTATCTTTCTCATGAAATGCCTGGAGAAGGCCACCCAATCGCTTTCCCCTGAAACTATCAGACCAATCTACCTGCTACTATCAGGGCTAGAATCCAGCTATCTGGATATCTTGCCTTTCGATGTTCTCTCCAGCTTTCAAAGTCAAATGGTTGAGGTGCTGACCAATCTTGACTCGGACAATCATCTGGCCAGTCTACTATGTTTGGCCATTTTGGCAAAAATCGCTTCCAGGTCAAGTGGCATGGAGAAGTCTCAGCCGAGTATCCAATCCTCGCCGAGCGGCGAAGTTCGACCCGAATCTGCAGATAGATTTCTTCCCGCTCGAAAGTTCTTCTCATCGAGACGAGCCCCGAAAACGCTTGACTTGGTAGTCCTCAAAGCCATCACAGCATTCTCTCGACACTGCCCATTGAGTACACAAGAGATTGTCGAAAGTTTGAAGCTTTCAAGAGAGATTGTGGATGCTTTTGACAAGAAAGAGAAAAGCTCCTGGCTAGCTGCCAACACCAGGAAAACCAAGAAGTTGTATGAGAAGATCCTTACGTCTGGGGTCGAAGCGAGAGTGCAATGCGAGGTATGTATAAAGGGAGGTGCTCGGTTTCTTAGGAACTAACATCTGCCTAGGCACTGAACTTCCTTGTTGTTCTGTCTGCTGGGGAATCGTTGCCTCCGGAAGTCATTCCGAATCTCAAAAAACACCTTCTCGCATCCGAAACGGACAATCTATCTGCCAGTGCGATCGGACAGTGCATCGTAAGACCATTCATAGCACAAGAAAAGCAGGCTGTGGCTAAGTAGATGCAGGTCTTACTCGAAGACGCCTCTATACGTGAACTTCTGGAGTCGCTATTGGTGTTGGCGTGTGATAAGTGGCATCCATGCAGGGAGTCATTGACGAAAATTGACAATGCCTTACGGTTGATCTCTGTCTTTACGGAAAGCATTTCCACGTCATCGAAGCTACTCAAAGCAGTCTTGCAGTCCATTTCGAGCAACGCGGTCTCGGACATGGTCCTTCAATACGCCTCTCAAGTGCAAGGAACCATGCGCTTGGGATTCGTTCATGGCCACAGTACCATAGACGTCTGCCCGATATCTTACAGTGAAGCCCAAGCACGACTCCACCAAAGTCTTGCGGTTATGCTTCTGAAATCTGCACTATACGCATCAAAATGTGGAGGTAATTTCGATGCATCCATTATGGAGTTGCTGCTTGAGAAACAGTTCTTTCATTCTTCTACTCAGCCCGCCTCTGTGGAGTGTAATCAACGCAGATCGATGAACCTCACAACGCCCAAGATATCCTTGTTCGAGGCTGTCAGTACGCCGCGTGTGGACTCCGTTAGCCTTAATTGGAGAGACGGCCTTATACGAGAAATGTCAAGAGACGTAGATTGTCGTTATGAGGGTGTTATCAGAATGGTCGGTGAGATCTGTAGGGACCTTGAGCTTCGGTGTAACGAAAGTGAGCGTCCTCTTCGGGAGGAACAATCAAATTCTCGTGACCTTCAAGCAAGGCTGGAAAGCTCGGAGCGAAAGAACGCTGGATTGGAATTTCAGGCACGAAACCGCCAATCAACCCTCAGCGCCCTAGAGACTGAAAGAGATTGTCTCGCCAATCAGGTTGAGGCGACCGAGAGACGATTGAAAGATTTAGGGACAAGTCTCGACAATATCCATCAGGAGTTCGACCATGCCAAGATCGAAGCTGAACGGGCAGCACAAGCTGCCATCGAAAGCGCTAGGCAACAAGACCTCGCGTGCCTAGCTACGATGACGGGAAAAGATGAGGTTTTTGAGGAGCAATGCTTGAAGCTTGCCAGCACTGAGAATCATGTCAATTCCCTTGAATATGAAATAAACCGTATGAGAGAGCTGGATGCCAAGAATGCCGAGAAATTGAACAACAGGGAGACACACATCGAAACATTGAACAATGCTATTTCCGCCTCGGAACGCCGTGTCCAGGATCTTCAACATGAATTGAATCAAACAAAAGAACAAGATGCCCGCAATACCGCGAAGATCAGCAACAACGAGGCCCTCATTGAAGAGCTGAATAGTACTATTGTTGCGGTGAACGAAGCATCTGACCGGAACGAGTCACTGATATCAGCCTTGCAGGTTCAACTTCGTAACGTGGAAGTTGACACATCCGAACTGCGATTGCAGCACGAGACGTACGTATCTGCCAAAGACGCAGAATTTGAGCGCTTAGACGAGTCTAATCGATCTTCGAATGACAAATGGCAAAGCGAGCTTGAGGTGGCGCACAGGAGGGCTGCAGCAGCCAGCGAGCAGAATGCGGCGACGATCGCTGGCCTACAGAGCAAGGTTAGCAAACTTCGCAAAGAGCGCGAGGTATGTATTTTTGGAATCTATACTGCACTCATGGCGCCTAATTTGGAGCCGTGAGACATGACTCAGGAGTGTACAGACATCCAAGTCTGAAACAAGAAATGCTAATCCTGGAATTTTTGACAGGAGCGGGCTAGAGAGTTTGCAGAAGCTCAGGAGCTAAGCGGTCGCCTTATGTCCCTTATGGGAACCACCAAGCGCCAAACATCATCTCATGGGGCAGAGTTGAGGACTCTAGGGCATGACGAGCGTGATCTACCCTCGTCTGGTGCGAATAGTCCAGATCTGACAGCCGCCGAATCACTGCATTCACCCAACTCCAGCGCTTCCAGCAGAGCACCTAAGCGCATCAAGAGACACCAGGACTCTAGGACTCCGACAACCCGTGCAACGAAAACTTCGAAGTCTATTATTACATCGAAAGAGCACCAGCGCAGCGTTATGAGAGTTGGTAGAGTCCCACTGGGTGACCTCGGATCAACGCAGAGTCCGGGTCTTTTAGCATTAAAGAATCCAAAATCTCGAGAACATTATACCCCAAAAACCGACGGCGCTGGGGAAATACCCACAGAAAATGACCAAGTATCTCCGGATCTTGACTCTGAGGAAGAGTCCTTTGGCGGAGGGGACATTTTCACAAGCACCGAACAAGAACAGATTCCTGCGCTGCGCAGCAAACTGCCGAGACACGAATACGATGAGACGACCACGGAGTTCTGATACGATGATGTAGCACTTAGAACCTGAACTGCATCGAACATTGAGGTGCGCTACTTGGATTCACTGGGTGCAGCAGCCACCGGCCGGTGCTACTGACCTTTGGTCTCGTTCCACATCTTGTTGATGAGATTGCTGAAACCGGATCCGCATCCATTTATAACGGAGTGGTTCTGTATGGCCTTTTGACCTTTCACATTCGATGGTGTGTCAAATGGTTTTGTGATTGGTGCTTGCCAAGGCTGTGTTTGAGGGTCGCCCAGTGTTTCCGATTGGGTCTTGAGTGGCATAGCGGGTTCCTGCGCCTAAGAAAAATGTCCGTGATTGAAGGAATCCTTTGTTTGCCTTTCCTACCATATTTGCTAACAAACCAGCCTGCCACGACATAGTCGCTCACTCCGTGGAAGAGATTTGTTCATTCTGTAAAGCTCTCAATTACCTTTGAAGACTAGGAATGAATGTGAAGGCTGTAAAGACTGGCAGGAGTGTGAAGACTGAAGACTGTGAAGACCTCTCAACACCATGGTAGAAGGGACCTCCAAGCCTTCACTTCCTCTAGTGAATCTCTGATCCCTGGCGGTGAGCTTCCTGATGTATTTCTATTGCCCTCATCGTCCATTTGACCATCCTTCCCACACGCCGCCTACTACACTGATTCCTCAGCAATTCCAATGCGAAGCCTTCTGGTGGAAAAGGCCACACAGGACTGCTAGGACTCCAGACTGTTAGACTTGATTCGGTTTAGACTTTATGCGTATCGAGTACTTGCAATGATCAAAGGTTTCTGCTTGCATTGACCAAGATCAAGATCAGATCTTCTGCCATTCCCAATTCGCCTCAAAGACTCCTTCCACCTCTTCACATCAACACCGACAGATCGAGCCACTGGTCCTCAAGCGAGCATTGGTGTTCAAGGGCAGTCATTGAGGATACGGAGATAAGCACGGCATTTGCCGTTAACATCACTCTTGCCCTTCAATACTGTTTTCATTACCCTCGTTTCAAGCTAAAACAGCTGCTCCGCCTTTCTCTTCGCAACCGCCTTCACCACTTCTTTTTATAACCTCCTTCATCGCTTTCTACTCATAGAACTCTATCGTCGCTTCAGACACTCTCTTGATCTTGGGCTGTAGAGTCAGATACACCTACGTGCTGGGCGGCAATATGGCGTTATCTGAAGCTATGAACAGCATTGGTTCGGTGATTGGTGGCAGAAGTAACATCGATGGCCCAGTCGAACTATCACTACCTCGAGCTTGTGTTTCCTCGGACTCCGAGGATGAAAACACTGCAGTGCGACTTCCCGACATAGACCAGAGAAAGCCGCTAGGAAAAGACGCTAAAGACTCAATGACGGATTCAGACTCGGATCAACAACAACAATCCTCCTCACTCAATTCAACCTCTTCCCCCTCTTGCTACTTCGATCACCACCCCACCAGAGTAAATCTACCTCCATCACAGCATATACAGAATGTGAAGAAGTCATTCGAAGCTTCATCTTCAGGCGGCCCACGAAGACGTGGAGCCAACCGAGGCATCAAAGCAGCGAGGCGTAGATTCCTGCTAGAAAAAGCCGCCAAGCAGCAAGAAGCTAAAGCAGCATCCGAAGCCCTCGAAGCAGGAAACCAGACAAGCGACATGTCGACCAAACCATCTACCCCTCTGCTCAATGGATTGGGTGTCTCAATCTCTTCCAGCAGCACGAGCTCGACTTTCCAGACATCGGCACATCAAAAAGCTACACCTCAGCCCGTGGGTCTGCTCCCATCACAGTCTCTGTATGCCCAGAATCCAACCCCCTTCAGCACCATAACCAATGGTGTCTACAATCAATCATCCTCGCACGGTCGGCCCAATAGCATCGTCCAGCATCCACTGCCACGACTTCCGAATGACTTCTCACACCTTTCATCCGTGATGACGCGTCGTGACCATAGGATCCAGAATGATTGGGCTCTTGGGGAATACATATTCATCAAGGTCTGCGACCTTCCAGACAGCGCCACAACTCGTGATCTATGGACAGCTTTCAGGCATGAAGGCCACATTGCGCACATTCGGCTTTACCAAAATGCGAAAGGCCATCGAGATGGCGGAGCCAAAGTGAAGTTCAGGTACGCTTCCACATATCGTTCATGTCCGCGCCATCGCAATAACTGACGAGGTGGTAGTCCACCACCAGCCAAGGCTTTCTGGAAGCGTGGAAAGTATTCGATACAGCTTGCTGGGGGTCGTACAATATCTGTTAGGGTATATAACGAGACTCGCCAACAATCGGTTCTTCCAGTCCAGTCGAAGAGCAAATACCCGGAGACCATGGTATGCTGCTTGTATTCCAGTGATTCTACGACAACTAACATCTCTCAGACCATGTATGCTGAGTCCTTGGATTTTGGCACTATGTTCGATCAGATAACGATGATGAACATGCGTAGAGTGCTGCCAACTAGAGAGACTGGGATTAAGTTTTGCATGAATATGTTCCACAAGGAGATCTCGGTCGAGTTCCCGATGCACATTGTGGACCCACGAGCGACTTCTAACAACCCAAACATGCGAAGAGGCAAGTACGATAGGACAGAGCTCTTCCAATTTCGGATTCCTTTCACCCAGTTGAAGGTGATTCACCGAATAGAGGGACAAGGACACAAATTGATCCTTCTCATCTCCATGGAGACACCACCAAAGTATTTCAAGCAGCTGGATCCTTCGAAGAGTCACGATGATCAAGCAGTGACATGGGGCGACAACGATGCGTGGTATCGTCAAACTGATCTTGTATACGTACCCAATGATCTGAAGAAGTCTTCCCTGACTTGGAAGAAGACAAATCCGATTATCGACCTTGGTAAGCATTAATCCTTTGCACAAGACCCCGTGACTGACCTATGGAAGGACGCTGGACGACCTATCATTTGGTTTTCAATAGTCCGGAGAATGGTCTACCACAGTTCGACCAAATGCGTGAAGCGTTACGCGACTATAATATTGAGATTGTACCTTTCCCTAATTTCTACATCACTTCGAAACGCGACGCCCCAGTCTGGAAGCTCATCGACCTACCACTTAAGAAACGAAGCAACAAAGGAACCGGCTTGGAGGAGATGATCCATGCCAACAAGCCACGGATGGCGTTTGAAGCCCGCTATCAACTCGAGGTCTGCTTCTCACAAGGATTTCTGAACGAGCACAATCTGAGCGAACACTTCATTACGACACTCATGAACATGAACGTCGAACAAGCTCAGGACCTTCTCGAGTACATTGCTAATCATGGGAATCGTATCTACGATCCGATGTTGTTGCTACAGGCAATAAATGGCAAGGCTTCGCTTTCCAGAACCAAAATTCCATCTTACTGCGCCTATGTCCGTTCTGCAACGGTTACACCAACGACTGTTCATTTCCTAACGCCAGTTGCGGAGACTTCAAATCGTGTAATACGCCAATATTCCCAATACGCTGACCGATTTCTTCGTGTCCGATTCACGGAGGAGAAAACAGAGGTACGTTTTCTCAACGCTGCAGTGGACGAAACTTATCGGGACAGGGCAAGATACATCCAACCCATAAGGATACGATGAACGAAGTGTTTACCCGCGTTAAGAGAGTATTGACCAACGGTATCAGAATTGGCGATCGTACATACGAGTTTCTAGCTTGTGGCAATTCTCAATTTCGAGAACATGGAGCATACTTTTTCGCTCCCCTGCCAAATTTGACTACAGAGAAGATTCGACAATGGATGGGAATGTTCAGAGAGATCAAGACCGTGGCGCTCTATACTTCTCGACTTGGCCAATGCTTTTCGACTACACGGGCAATACACGGTGCACGGGCTACTATGGTTGAGATCCCGGACATCAGACGCAACGGACACAATTTCACGGACGGCGTGGGTAGAATTTCTCCATTCCTTGCTCATCTTGCGGCGTCAGAATTGGGTATACTCCAACACTCCCAAGATCCGCCAAGTGTGTTCCAGATTCGTGTTGGCGGCTGTAAGGGCGTGCTCGCCATTTCCCCGGACTCTGTTGGAAGGCAAATTCATATTCGCAAGAGCCAGTACAAATTCCCTGCGATGGACGAGAACTTGGAGATAATCCGATGGTCTCAATACGTTTTCGCCAATCTGAATCGCCAACTTATATTGATTCTATCTGCTTTGGGGGTCCCGGATCAAGTGTTTGCTCGAAAGCTGCAAACGCAGTTGTCACGACTCGAGCGGGCTATGACTGACGAGACAATGGCATTGGCTATCTTGCAAAAAGAAATCGATCATAATCAAATGACGCTGACTGTCGCGAGCATGGTATTGGACGGTTTTCAGAAGACGAGAGAACCGTTCGTGACTTCTCTGTTACAGTTGTGGCGAGCATGGTCCATCAAATATCTGAAAGAGAAGGCGCGGATAACGATCGGTTCCGGCGCTCTCCTTTTGGGCTGTGTGGACGAAACGGCAACTCTTCGAGGCCACTTCAACGATAGTCCAAAACTCTCAGCAGACGCTTCCAACGATGAAAAGGCCAGACATGTACCACAGGTTTTTGCTCAAATCTCCAAAAACTCTGACGGAAGACCTGAAGTCATGCTCGGACCAATGCTGCTCGCTCGGAACCCTTCTCTCCATCCAGGAGATGTTCGAGTTGTCTGCGGTGTGGACGTTCCACAGCTTCACCATCTGAAAGACGTAGTAGTTCTGCCTCAAACGGGTGACAGAGATGTTGCGGGAATGTGTTCTGGGGGCGATCTAGATGGAGACGATTTCCTCGTCATTTGGGACCAGGACTTGTTGCCTAGTGAGTGGAACCATGAGGCCATGGACTATTCTCGACCTCCTATGGAACAGCCCAACGAGAACATTGGGATCGACGATCTGACGACCTTTTTTGTGACTTACATGAAAAATGATACCTTGGCGCGAATAGCGCATGCCCATACCGCAAATGCCGACTATTTGGAAGAAGGCGTGAAGGAAGCGAGATGTATGTTTTGCGAGTGTATCTATCTTCTACATTGCTGACTATCGATTAGGCCTGGAGCTTGCCAATCTTCATTCTATGGCTGTGGATTACGTCAAGACTGGTCAACCAGCTCAGTTGACCCGCGACCTAGAGCCTCTGAAATGGCCTCATTTTATGGAGAAGGTCGGCAAAAAACAGCATCAGATCTACACATCGAAAAAGGTGCTGGGACAACTTTACGATCAAGTTGAACGCATAGATTTTGTTCCTGCGTTCACTGCGCCTTTCGACCCGCGAATCTTACGAGCATACAGACTCGATGAGAACATCCTCCAGAGTGCGCGTGAGATCAAAGACGAGTACGATGCGCACATGCGTCGCATCATGGCGCAGCAGGAGATCAAAACCGAGTTTGAGGTCTGGTCAACCTTCGTGTTGCAGCACTCGAGTACAAACAATGCCTTTAAATACCATGAGCAGATTGGAGAGATCTCCATGGCACTCAAAGACCAGTTTCGACTTATATGCCATGAGCGTGCCGGAGGAAAAGACTACAAGCATATCGGTCCATTCGCTGCAGCCATGTATGAAGTCACGGCCGGAGAAGTGACCGCAGCTGTCGAAGAATGCCATCGCGTTCAGCTCGTTGGCGGCCAATCGAGACCCCTACGAGAGATGACTGCATCTGCCATGCCTTTGATGAGTTTTCCATGGCTGTTCCAGGACGTCCTTGGCAAGATTGCAAAGAGCAATACTTCTGAGGCCGAGGGTCCAATTTCCGTGCGAGGAGAAATCGGCTCGAAGGCCGCAGTCCCACCGGATGAGATCAAGGCACCTCAACCAAAGCCGAGTCGTGTTGGTCCTAGTATGTTAGATTCGAGCGACTATTTGGAGACCTCAGAGGACACTACACATCCTGGAGTATTGCTTGAGCTCTTCGGAAGGTCCAGAGAGTCTTACGAACGTGACAGGCCTACCGCGGCGGAATATATACCCTCTAGTTCAATTAGCGCTAAGTCATTCAACTCATCAATGGGCTCGAGCGTGGAACACGGCTCTTCGGCGAACGAGGGCTTGATTGATTTTTCGTCTTCGAGCTCACCGGAGCTTCTGGCTCGGAAGTTTCATGATGACCATTATTACAATCCTGAAGCATCAGTGGAGGGCAACTTCAAGTCTACGGCTAGGTCAGTTAGCCATCTCCGTGGATCAGAAAGACCCTTGGACAGTCAAGGGAGGATAGAAGTAGCACGGCTAGCCGGAGAGGAGCAGACTGCTGCGCTCAACGAGGCGTTTTTTGGAGGAATCTTGGGGGATGACAAGGATCTCAGTATCGAGTCTGATTGCACCATACCTGAAGGATCCAATCTACGACTGTTGACTGATCTGATGATGGGTCTGTCCGCTCCCTCGGACGAGCCAGAAGACCGGAAGTTGAAATCTTTCCACAAAGAGAAGAAAAAAGCTCTTGAGGATGTGTTCTTTGGCAGAGCAGAAGAGCAGGCAGTTAAGACAAGTCAGCTGTCAACGGTCGACCTTAGCGATGAGGTGGAAAGGGATGAGGAAAAGGAGAGAACCATGAAAGAGGAGGAGAACAATCACGAAGCTAACAATGAGGTGGGCTATTCCAGTGACAGCGACGCTGAGTCAGACGAAGTGATTGTGTCTATTGATACCAAAGGTAACTTGCTTGACCAGTTGGCAACGATTGCCGAAGATGACGCGGTACCGGGATCGTGAGAGAGAGAATGAATTGAGGAGGGGTGCATTTTCAGGGTATGTGCCCCATTTTTCACTATCTTTTGGGTACACACACTGACGTGTAACAGTACGATGGTCGGCTTGAATCAAGGTCTCGATATCGTAACATCGATCATCTTCTGTGGAGGATAGCTTTACGACCTGTTTGTTTCATGTCATCAAGCCTACCGAGGAGCACAACGCTTCCAATCGCAATCCAGAATGAAGACACATCCGTTACGAACGGACCATTACGTTTCACGCATTACTTTCCTAGCTGCTTAACGCATCGAGTGTTTTTCCAAGAAAGACTTCAAAAATCAAGAACCCGTTAAATCATTCGAATGACTCTAGTTGCGTAGAAATGTGATGGTTGTACACCGTAGATTAACATGATGCTCTGATTAACGATTCAATGTAGCCGAATTTGTCCCTCTCTTGCCAACAAAAACAAACCCCGATATTTCCCGATCGTACCCAAAAATAATGACTCGTGCACGCCTTTCATCGTCCGCTGAGCCGCCCTAGATGCCATCGCAGCCACTGATTCCCCCTTTGCTATCTCCCAATCTCTCCGCCCAACCTTGCACCTCTCTCACGCTTCTCACCTCGACCCTCGGCGCCACAACAAATTGGCTGGTCTTGCGGTTCGTATGTGCCACATTGAAGAGCAAGGGCTACGGCACTGGCCATGATTGCCACGGTACTCAGGGTGATCCTTTCGACCAAAGGATAGTGCTGGTGAGCTGGCTCAGGGATTGGGCATGGTGGAGGGAGAGCGGACGGAAGCTGGTGAGCACATCCTCTATCTCGGTATCTACGTGGTATCTACGTGGTAGAAGAATGCACGAAAAGGACCAGAGCTAATCGGCACCTACGCTCTTAGGGCATCGATTTCCAGAGAGTGCATCTCATTGATGCTCTGAGTAATGGATTAGGCATGGGTGCTGGAGGGTTAGCCGATGTGAAGAAAGCGATCATGAAAGCTATTGGAAGCAAGAAGACTCCAACCGGCGGAGGCAACGTTATACTGATCCTAGACGGCTTAGACTTCTTGCTTGCGGCTACAGGGTGGGAGGTGCTGGGGATGCTGGATATGATTGGTGAACTTAGAGAGGTACGCCTTTTCTCCATCTACAGGCTCCATGCACTCGCTCAACGGAGGTGTCGAGAAATAGCACGTCTACTCCACTATTATTGCCACAGCTGCCGACATGCCCCTTTCTCAATCGCCCACTACCCCTCTCGAAATATCTCACGCAGCTTTCGTGATGAGCTTAGCGCATCAGGCGAGATCGATCTTGAGCGTGAGGGGACTCGATACAGGCGTGGCGAAGGATGTCAGTGGTGTCCTAAGGATTAGCAAAGGAGCCGAGGAGTCGAGAGATGAGGGAGATGTAGAGGAGAGGGAATGCCTGTACTATGTAGGCTCGGATGGCGGAGTGAAGGTGTTTGAGAGGGGTGCTTAAGCGTCTCGAGTCCGGTACTGGAAGCCGGATGAAGACTGGGTAGATTGCATTAGCGGAGCCTTGGTCGAAGGAAAGAATCCATGAATGAATATAAACTCGTGCTAATACAGAGTCACTTGCCATCATTCAGCTCCACCGCTGTCTATCTGATAAAGAAATGACAACGAGAAGAGTAAAGTAATTGAAGACCGAGGGACAGACTCTGTAAGTCCGTAATCTGCGGGCGCCGGTACGACTAAATCGCGGGCGCTAATGACAATCAAGCGAGGTCTTGGCAGATTTTCGCACGTCAATCTTTCAAATTTACCAGTCACGACCGCCCATACAACCACCACATTGACAGCGCGAGGGTATGTATATCGTTTCACAATCGACCATCACTCTATGGCTGATATAGTACAACAGACAACCTAGCCCAAGATGAGTGCGTTCGAGAAGCCCGGGACAAGCCAAAAAGGGTCGCAACTGACCTCCAAATAGCGAAGGGTACCTCGTCCTTTGGTAAACGCCATAACAAGACTCACACTTTGTGCAGACGCTGCGGTAAGCTCAGTCCATCTCCCCTGCCTTGGTCATAGCAAAATTGGCTTCCCAGGCCCAAACATCCGTCAACTGCGAGGCCCTCTTATGGATCGAACGCCTTGCTAATCGCATCTGTCCCAGGTCGCCGCTCTCTTCACATCCAGAAGCACACGTGCTCGTCATGCGGCTATCCTGCTGCTAAGATCCGCCAATGTACGCTCTCTCCATCCTTGAAATCTCCTCGGAATAATCTCACTCACTCTTCATCCACTCCCACCTACTACCTTCCTCTCCAGCCGCTATTGCGCACCGATATCTAACTCGTATTCCACAGACAACTGGGGCATGAAAGCCAAGCGAAGAAAGACCACCGGTACCGGCCGCATGCGCTCGATGAAGGAGGTGCCGCGCAAGTTCAAGAATGGGTTCCAGACTGGTGCACCAAAGGGAGCGAGGGGGACGACTACGAATCCAGCGTAGGGTGATTGATTTGAGGGGGAGGGCAGAAGGGAAGGATTTTGTGAAGAAGCAGGGGCAGAACGAAGGATGATCTTGCTATGCAGCGGCCGTAGCTACGTACGCTCAGGAGCAATGAAGAACTTCTATTCGAACCTCGATGATTGAATCGTCTGTCCGGAGAAGGCCTCCGATTTCATGCGTTTGGTCCCTCTTGATGATGGTGCGCAATCTACGGATCGAAGCCTGAAGCATATAGTGAAGAAACGTTATACGAGGAGGCTAGCTTTCGTGCTGATGTTGCTAATGTGTCTATAAGGATTTCACTTCTAATCTTCCATCATTCAGCTATGAACCTGCAGCAGCCATTAGCCGAGTTGTCGGACTCAGGGGAAGCATTCGTAGCTACGTCTGCTGCGCTGTGCAAGAATTACTGTCTCGGACATGGCACGAATTGGGACCCGGCCGGCAAGTTCACGATCACAAGTGCATTGGGTCCTTTGATCTAGTGAATCTTTCATTACGCAATATTCCATTGCTGACTGCTTGACCACTCACAAGCCTACTTCTTAGTCCTCCATGTCCACCGTTTTCTTTCATAACGTCCGGGCAGCGCCACTCGATGTACGCTCTCTGGGCCCTTCTCACTCTCTCATTTGCAAATTAGTGGTGTTAGCTGAGGGATTTTGGAGACCTTTGAACAACTGGGCCATCGCTACTCGGGGTTGCTGAGAGGCTGGCTTCGCCGTTTGCTCAATCATCTTCTGATCTCGGGCTGCCATTGCCAGCTGCTTTCGCCGATGCGGCTTGACGACGAGTCAAAAGCGAATTTGGTAAGCTGGGGAGGCGGCCCTTCCCAGTTTTTTTCGGCTCCTCGATATCGATATGTTCCTCTTCGCTTCTCTCTGCAGATACAGTGCTGGAGTTCTTCTCTGCTGAATCCTGCTTCCGGTTCGCCTTCACCCTCGAGCCCTTGGATCTACGGGGCGTCATGGGAGTAGTCTTAGACGTTGATTCTTCGGAGTCGTCGATCTTTACAGCCCGGTTTCTTAAAGCCCGAGCTCCTTCCTTACTGACGATCTTGAACCCGAAAGCTGGCCATGTCTGGTGAAGACCCTTTTCTGGGATGTACGGAGGCGTTAATGCTCTCTTCCTGGATGGTGTCTCTTCGCCAGACTCGTCGGTGACGGCTCCTTCTGGTCGCGTATTGGGATCCACGTCGTAGGACTCCTCGCTGGCTGCTTTCTTTGGCTCCTCCTTCTGGCTGGCGGCTCGTTCGCCGGGCTTTGCATCTTGGGCAATAGGAGCCACGTTGTATGGTACCAGGGTGACATCAGTCTTGGGTTGCTTATCCCTTCTACTACCATGTTTTGTTGGTGGTCCAAATGTTGATTGTGCACCTGGTGGAGGTGGGTCATTTCCGGCATCCTAGACTCCAGGCACTAGGTGTCAGATGTGGGAATTTTGCTCATCGACGTATACTTACCGCTTTTTTATCAATCTCTGGTGTTGGCCGTGATTTCCTCTTCTGCCGGTCAATTATTGCATAGTCCTGCAAGTCGTTGAACATCTTCTCGACGCCCGCGAGGATCCTAGCATATATCAGTATGTTGAGCTGAAAGCTTGTCATTGCACACCACTTCTTCTTATCCTCAGGCCAGATAAGAGCATCGGGACGAGACAACTTCCCTCTGGATTATGATTCAGGGTCAGTCTTGCTTGTTTGGGGGGGTTTAACGAGCCTTGAGAAACTCTAGAGAGTGAACACTGCCAAGGCGTGTCTCGAGATTCAAGGTTTGGTTCAGAAGAGGAGATATGGATTCCGAAAATACGCACAGCCAGAAGCGTTGGCCATAACCTGAGCCGTCCAGGTCTTCCACGTATTCCCAAGCTAACATATACCCGGACAATATCTCCCGAGCCTTGATTCTGTGCTTTCTAGTGAGCCTGGCATAGGTGTCGCTCGAATCCTCTTGTACTATTTTGACCTCTCTGATTAGTCGAGCAATGTCGTAATCTTCTTCCAATCGTAAGTCGTGTCTGCATATTGCTACTAGCTTCTGGTTATCCATAACGGGAGGCCTCGGGAAAGAGATGAATGAGTAAGATATTCTATGATAATATCTATGGTGCTCAACGCAATGAGACGGGATGCCTCCTGGGATCAGGCTAGAGTCGATAGGTAATTCCCAGCCATCGCTCCTTCCCTATGCATCTAAGCCCACGATTCATAGTTAACCTTGGAAGAGATTATAAGTATGGTGGCACGATCTACTCACATGCTGTTGTTCAAACGAGAATTCTCGTGCATCTTAATTTTTCCGAGGCCATCGTCACCAAAGTGAGACTAGAGCAAGGGTGGAGGTATCTAGGGCAGAACATGCGAGCGGGCTAGAAGTCTTCTTGGAGTAGAACATCAATGACTGCCTGGTCGAAGAAAATCGCGAGATGGAAGGGTTAAAAATCGGCAAGAGCAAGCTCGACCCAGCGATTGTAGCCATGGCGAAACCTTGCTTTTCGGCGTAAACCGAAGAGAGGGCCAGAGAAACAGCTCAACGGTAGTGGAAACGGCGATGGCGTGAGGGATAAGGCTTGGTTCTTGGAAAGATGATATTTGATCCCCTTGGTATTGCATGAGTCCGGGTTTAGGAACTCGGCATACTGTTTTCGATAGGCAACTCTGCTATTCACGCCAGTGCTGAAGTGGCCTTGCTAGAAATGACTTTGATACGCAACTCCATACCGCCAAATATTCATTCCTTGCTAGCCATGGCCGAAGACATTTTTGGGGGTATATGGTTCTTCCAGATGCGTCACCTCTTCCGCGGTCAATTCCTTTCCCCTAGCCTCCAACGCTTCATCCAACCTCGCCACACTGCTGAATCCACAAATAGGACTACAGATGCCTTTGTAATTGAGCCACGCCAACGCTACATGACCCATCTTCCAATCTTTCTTTTTGGCAAGCTCCTCTACTCGGGAGATAATTGAGATGTCTGCTTCTGGCAGCGCTGGCTTGCCAGAAGAGCGAGTGGTGCTGCCGTTGACATGAAATGGGCGAGCGAGCTGACCTTGAGACAGCGGTCCCCATGGTATCAATCCAACGCCTGTCTCCAAGCAGAACTTATTCATCTCTCTCTCCTCCTCTCGGTAGAGTAAGTTATAGGCGTTCTGCATCGACACGAACTTCGTCCATCCATTCTTCTCGGCCACGAATTGCATCGTTGCGAATTGATACGCCCACATGGAGCTTGCCCCTATGTAATGCACTTTCCCACTTTCGACAAGGTCGTGCAGTGCTTTCATAGTCTCTTCGACCGGGACGGTCTTATCGAAGCGGTGTATTTGTAAGAGATCGATGTAGGATGTGTCTAAACGCGCGAGAGAGGCATTGACAGCAGCTAAGATTCCCTGTCGTGACAGTCCTCGCTGGTTGACATAATCGACCGTGTTGTCGATATCCTTGAGAGCCATCACCTCTGGGCTATTTCCTTCACGAACAGTACCACACAACTTCGTGCAAATGACCAGTTTATGGCGAGGGATGTTGTATTTCTTGATTGCCTTGCCGATGATCTCTTCAGACGCGCCATTGCTGTACACATTGGCTGTGTCCCACGTATTCAAGCCTCGGTCGTAAGCAGCCTTCAGTAAAGGTAGCGCTTCATCCTCTTCCGTGACCCATTGCTGCCATCTCTTGTCTCCAATGCTCATAGCACCAAGAATCGGCACAGAGACTCTCAGACCGCTCTTGCCAAGCTGCTTGTACACTGCTTTGGGGATGTCGGCCGCCATGGTGCTCACGCTGCGTTTGACAAGGTATTGATGCTGTGGGAGCTTACTGAAACAGCTTTGGGGCTTGGAGGGGAGGCGACTGGTAGTAGACTGGGATGTAAGATGTGGTGTGATGGAGGTAGATCGGTGGACTCTGGTACGTGAGCAGATCAGGCGCGGTGAGAGAACGACGCTCATGTCATAAAGACATAAAGGTCCAAGTACTCCCGAAGCATTGGACCCTGAGCATGCGGCTGAAAGATCCTCATTAGATTCTCGAATAAATAGGTACTGGTTCTATTGTCAGACTGATTTTGCTCGTTCCTGGACATCTAACAAAATTTTGTCATTGATGAGATTAAAAGTTGTCAATTTGGTAGGGATCTCGATGTCTGTTGTATCTAGATACATGTACACGAAACTCCATCTATATGCACTGCATTCACCGCAACCAAGACTACCAAGGCCTCTCTCTGCCAATACACCTAATCACCGCCAGCAGCAAAAGGACTCCTCTCTCTCAACTTTTCCCCGAAAAACCACAACAGAAATGGTGCTGGTATGCCCAATCCAAGAGCGATGAATCCTAACAGACTGTTTCCCCAGCCATAATTTAAGGCATTGTACATATAAGGAGCAAACAATGGGAAACCGAAACCTGCAAGGCTTCTGAGTACCGTCGCCGCCGCGATAGCCGAAGCTGCGAAACGCGTATAGGAGTCGACAAGATATGTCTGAATGCATTGGAAGCCGATGATAACACCTGCCGCAAAGAGGGCAGCGCCGATATTCGGTCCTATCCAATGTGTGTGGTACTGTGAACACCAGCCGTATATAAAGAGGCCAGAGGGAACGAGTAGGCTACCTGGAATCATTAGAGGCGTGCGAAACTCCGGGCGGCCAACATTGTCATTCTTTGCCTTCAGTCGACGGTAGATACGATCATTTACTGGAGCGCAGATTTGAGTTCCAAGGAAGAAGCCGACGCCCAGAGAGATGTAGTTCAGGCCACCAATGCCAATGGACTCGTGGTACTGGTTTTCCCACAGACCTGGAAATGTGGACAAAACGAGATACATGAGGCCGTAAAGATATGCCATATAAATCGCGAGGGCTTGAACTATTGGTTGCGTACCCAAAAGCTTGAATGGGCGGATCAGGCTGCGCTTCATGGTGTTGGCAAGCGTCCGTTCAGGATGCTCAAACTCCGTATGAAGAGCTGCATTGCCGGTATCTTTTCGAAGCTTTTTCGCTTTCGCGAGAAGTAGGGTGGGTGGATATGTTTCCTTGAGGAAGAAGAGCCCCATAATCTGGATGACCCCATCGGCAATCGACGTGGCCCAAAAAGCCCATCTCCACGTTGTGTTCTGGGTAATGAAGCCACCTGCTATGGGACCAATGGCTGGCCCAAGAAGGGGAGCAAGACTGTAGATGCTGATCGCACGACCTCTTTCTTCCGCTCGCCAACAATCGCTGAGGACGCCACCACCAAGCTGTAGAGAGTCAGCAAGCTCCTACGACAGCCGCATATCTCGACCCCAAGCAGACGTACCGCCAATGGCGCAGACCCTCCAAGACCAGCAAGAAATCGGAACGCGATCATCTCCCCCTTGTTTCTGCTGGCCCCACATGCAATATTGAAGATCAGATATACCAAGTTCGCAATTTGAAGGACCGGTACGCGGCCGTATATTTCGGAAAGCGGACCCAAAAATAGAGGCCCGATCGCATATGCTAGGACGAAGACAGACAACACGAGCTGCGACTCCACCTCGTTCGTTATGCCAAATTCTTTGGATATTGATGTGAGAGCAGGTGCCACCATTGACGACGAGACAGGGGAGATGAGGGTGAAGCATGATACAATAAGCGTCGCAGCCCATTTACGCCCAAAAGTCCAATTCTTGGGATTTTCAGGGTCTTCGGGGCCATCCCACGATACCTAGAAAGCCAGTCAATCATACTGCCATATTGCAGAGGATACAGTCAACCACTCGTACCAAATTGGGATCCTTGATCGATCTCGTACTTTGTTTCTTCTCCAGGTTTGCCTCGAGGTCTCGCGTGTCGAGAACGCCCATTCGAACCTCGGCCCCCTCATCTTCGCCATTTCTAGCGGCTTCGTCAAAGTCTTCGTTCCTCACTTGCTCAAGCTCATCAGAGTATTCGGTCTGGTCATCTTCGTCCTCAAGTTTTGAGTCGTGGTCGCCACCGTGGTAGTTTGAGACATCATCGAGGTGCTGCGCAGAAAAGACGTGCTGTAGATGGGGACGATTGGCTGTGTTGGACCGGCCACGGCGGATTTGAGCTCTGGGTTCTGAGCTGGGCGTTGGTGCAGAACGGCTAAGTTTCAATTCTGGCATATCCCTCGGCCAACCGGGTTTTGGAAGTATGAGAGACTGATTTATATGTATTGGTTAGGGAACAATCCAATGAAAAAAGAAAAGGTAGATATAGGATAAGTTGTTTTTGGTAGGCAAGTCAATAAGGCGCGGGGGGAGGGAGTAGGTATTCATATAACAAGGCATGTTTGAAGGGACTCTTTCATATTTGCACATCGGCTTTTCGGCAGTCATGCTAATATTAATGCTCACCGAGAGTCCCCTAGTTCATGTACTTTACTTTATCCTCCAACTCTGCATTTCCGATGACGTCACGACGGCCATTCAGCTATTCCTGCTGCAATGCGCGTATTTAGCGGACTCGGAGATAAGGTAAGTACGGTAAGGTACTTTAGTGTAGCCGGAAGCTAAGTGACTACTGTACCTTATGCTGCGTTGTATGTCCATTAAAGAAAAGGAATCACGCGACACACGGGCATCATTAATGCATTGTGCGCGTGCTGTGTATCCTCTTTCTAAGCACGGTACTTGGTGCAGCATTACATGATTATTCGGCATATATGACGCGCTTCCTGGCCCTCGGGACTATCGGCCTGACCAGGGAATAAGCCGAGTCAGAATGGGCCCTCTTCTGTTTTCTTAAAGTCTTGATGACTCATTACAACCCTGCAGACGTCAAAATCTCACGCTTCCGAGGTTGACTTGTTTATCCTCAGGACGTCAGCCATGTCAGACAGCCGCCGTCCAACCCTCCAAGAGCGAAGGAATTCTGTACTCGATGAGACTATCCTCTCTCCAGGTTCCGTTAAAATCAACGTGCAAGGGGCTTTCATTGCGGATGAAGTGGCTTCTATTACGGGCAATCAGCCAGATGACGGAGCGCAGCATGACACCAGATGCATCCGCCTACCCAATCATACGGGTGTAGTTAGCCATGTTGCACTTGATATAGGCGGGTCTCTTGCCAAGCTCGTCTACTTTTCGCGTGAACCGGATTTCAAGGAGGTGTGTACGTTTCGGACAGTTACAATTGATTGATTGATTGCGTGGAACTTTGAGCTGCTAGCCACTGTTTAAAGCAATCGTCTCCATTTATTTCGTCCAACGACTATCCTGATGAGGGAATGCTGACCCCAACGACTTTTTCAGCTGGGAGGCAGACTCAACTTTCTCAAATTTGAGACCGATAGAATCGATCAGTGCTTTAAAGTCGTGCAGGAACTGAAGGCTAAGCAGCAACCTCTGAATGGGTCTCAGCCTGGAGAGCTATGCATTGTGGCAACTGGTGGAGGAGCGTACAAGTTTTACGACGAGATGAAGAATGTGTTGGGGGTAGAAGTGCTTCGCGAAGACGAGATGGAGTGCTTAATCATGGGCCTTGATTTCTTCATCACTGAGATCCCACGCGAAGTCTTCACCTATGCGGATCTGGATCCAATGCACTTCGAGGAACCACGTGCCAATATCTATCCATACCTCCTGGTCAACATTGGGTCAGGCGTCTCAATGGTAAAGGTCTCAGGGCCGAAACAATTCGAGCGCATTGGTGGCACCTCACTCGGCGGAGGCACTCTGTGGGGTCTTCTGTCTCTGCTTACCGGAGCAAGGACGTTCGACGGTATGCTAGCCATGGCTGACCGAGGCGACAATACAACAGTCGATATGCTTGTTGGTGACATATACGGCACGGACTACAGCAAAATTGGGTTGAAGACCAGTACCATTGCCAGCAGCTTCGGCAAAGTCTTCAAGATGAAGAGGCAAGGTGAGGACGATGCCGAAGATGGAAATGGATTGTCGAACGGTGATCCTCAACCAGCGAGTGGAAGTTCTGATCCAGACCGGGCATTCGCCCCAGAAGACATCAGTAGAAGTTTGTTATACGCCGTTAGTAACAACATCGGCCAAATTGCGTACCTGCAAAGCGAAAAGCATAAGCTTGAGCACATTTATTTCGGAGGCTCTTTCATCCGTGGACATCGGCAAACCATAAACACCTTATCATATGCCATCAGGTTCTGGTCGAACGGCGAAAAGGAAGCGTACTTCCTCCGCCACGAAGGCTATCTGGGATCCGTTGGAGCATTCCTAAAGCGCCAGCCAAAAATTTGGGGCCGAAGAAATAGCTTCGAAGAGTGAAAGATGATTTTCACCTCTCAAATTGCTCACATCCCTTGGCCTGTTTTAGGAAATTCTTACGGCAATGGATCAGATGCGTCTCTGGCGGTCGAAGTAAAGCACAATCCCCTAAAGAAGTCATGTCGAAAAGCATAAAAGCCAAAGCCAGAAGGATACACCTGTTTATAAGATACAGTCCCGAAAACAAAAAGACAGAAATTTGCGCGAGTCTCAAGCTTCAGGTTAGGCACAATGTAGCGGCCCTGGTAGCCCTGAATAGATTGAAGTTTGATTTAAAAAACGAAGGAAACTAATTGCTAATGTGATAAAGGTAAGAGTATGTAGCAAAAGTTATGCACAGAGGGCGGAAACTCCTAACATAATTGTAGAAGTCCAACAATTGCCAGACAAGAGTGACAAATTTCACGAACTTCTCCTTAGGAATTGTCATATATTGTGTACGAGAAAACTTGTAGAAGTCATAGAGTTCAGGCGCAGTGCCAGAATATAGTGACAATTTTCACCCACTTTTCCTTAGGAACTGTTATTTTATCTGCAATGGAGAACTTGTAGAAGTCGTGGTGTTCAGGCCCAGTGCCAGAAAATAGTGACAAATCTCACAAATCTCCCCTAAGAACCGTCACTTTACCTGCAAGGGAGAATTTGTAAGAGCCGTACGGTTCAGGCGCAATGCCCTCTCATAATGACAATGTCAGACTTTCCCTAAAGGTCGTTGTTATACCAGCAAGGAATTCCCTGTTTCATATATTTTATCTGTCCTATTGAGAATTGATATTCCCTTCATGCATGACTTTTGCTACAATCTCCTAAGATACCATGAATACAAGGGGTGGGAGCAAGTTATTTTGCAAGTCAAATGGATTCTACTCCATCGGTTGTTCATTTGTTTAATCTTGCACGTATAAGACTTCAGAAGAGCAAGGACTTCAAGGAGACGGTGTGGGAAAGAAGACACTTATACTGAGGGCGCAGAGCGCAGAGGTGCGCGAAAAGTGCCAGAAAGCAGAGGGTTTCTACCGGTCAGAGCTATTATCCAACCATCAAACGACCGTACCCAGGAAAAAACCAAAACAGACCACCCAGACGGAGAAATCAAAAAGGCTGACAAGCTCGTCCTGCAAGCGAACACGCCATCCCATCCCAATCCATCCTACTCCTTCACCCCCCAAGACCTTCACCCGGAAGGCATCTTCCTCACCTGCAAAGGTATCACCCTCTCCAGCTCTCCATCTCCACTCTCTTGCCCCAAAGACACAGCCCGCCCCCTGCCACCCAGACTCGCAAGGCGGCCCCGCTCCCTCTCCCGGTCTACGCGCACGCACCTCGGACCCACGCCTCTAGCGCGGACAGCGTAACTGAGTGCGGCGCCGGCTCCGGCTCCACCGCCGGCATCGGTGCTATCGTCGCTTCCCAAAAGCGCATGGTCCCTGGCACGGATGTCCCTCTGCGCCAGCATGGCCAAATACCTTCGATTGGCCACTTCCCTCCCGGGATCCACCGTCTCCGTGCTCATGTCGGTGGTATCACTCGCGGGTGGCATGGCCTGCAATCTCGCGATCATGGCTGCTTGTGATGAGTTGTTAGCAAGCAGAACTTGTTGCCTTGCTTCGTTCGAGGAAGGCGCGGCGGGGACAGGGTTCCTGGTTGGTGACGCCGTAGGAATATGACCCAAGTCTGCGATTCTCGTCGAAGCCCCAGGGGGGACAGGGTCGATGTTTGGTGATGTCGGACGGAATGGGGGGGGTTTTGTAGGTCTCATCGTTGCTGAAAGCGATGGCGGACAAGTCGGTGGATGAGACCGTGCATGTGCCCGCTGTGGATACGACGGTAGCGCGGTCGGATCGCTGGGAGGGAAACGAGGAGCGGTGCTGCCATGTGAGGCAGAGCGGTCGCCAGAGCTTGTACTTTGAGGTGTTTGTGTGCGATTGCGCTGCTGGAGAATCAAATATAGGACTACCGCGACCATGGCGAGAAGCCACAGAACAAGGACGACCGTGGTGGCGGCGTAGGTCGTGAGTGAGACGGAGGCGGTTCGTGGCTGGAGGACACCCATTATTAGCCTGTTCCAGCCTGTTCTGTGGGAGAAGAAAAAAGGGATGCCTGTCGAGAGACGGCTTCCTGCTGCTGAAAGTACGATGGGCGGAGTCGATGGCTGAAATACCTTGTCGCGGATGTCAAGGTTGCAGATGGGATTTCCGCTATAATCCGGACCAAGCTAAGAGCTTGTACGACATGGCAAAGATGCCGAGGTCAGGCGATGAGCATTGATGACTCCGTCGGCCGGGACTGGAAGTGGGCGATTGGCTTGAACAGGAATGAAGCGGAAATCGTCGATAGACAACCCACTTGCTTAGAAGTCTGCAAATGAAGAGTCACTGTCAAAAAGTGACTGACTAGATACAAAGTCGCAACGAAAGAGCTCGATATGAACAAGTCAAAATGCTCGCAGAGACAATCAACAGATTGGGGTATCATTTCACGCTACTTTGCTCAACATTAGCGCCGCCTTTTTTGTCTTGCGAATTCTTGTCACTCCCGTTAGTGTTACTGTCGCTGTTGGAATGAATTCTCTTGCCCGCGTTCTCCCCTCGATCTTGATCATCTTTCTTGGTCTTCGCCTCCGAAATCTTCTTCATCTCCTTCTCCAGGGTCATTGATAATCTCTCAAGCACCCACTCCGCCTCCTCTGTTTCTCCCATTAAAGGGGAGCGATTTCCGAGCCAGCTCCATTGGCGCATCCCGCCTTCATCGTCATCTGTCTGGGCCTGCTGCATATCCGGCTTCGCGTCAGTGTCGTTTTTCACTTTGACAGGAGCTGTTCGGTGCGAGACGGAGTGTGACTCGTCTTCGCCCATAAGTTTAAGAAACCATGCCCACTCCTCGTAGCTGTACTTTCGAGGCGGAGACTCATTCAGATGCTTCATTACATTGCGGAATTCTTTGACGAGAAGATAGTGATATGTGTGGATGTCCCCTCCAAGCTTGTCGCCTTTGGCTTCAGCTTCTCGAGCTTCCTTGAGCTCTTCGTCTTCGACTTGGCCAGCAAGGTAATCAGTGGCAGCAGCACCTGGGCCACCAGCGTTTCCATTCTCGGGGTCAATTTCGCCATTATCGCCAAGCAAACCTGGTGGCTCTTTAAACAGTATGACCTCTCCGAACAATCTACCGCCTGTAGTTCTGGCTGCGATTTGCTTCATTCGATCTCTCACCGGTGCATCCCCTGGTAGGACTGTGAACTCTGCCAAGTACAGTGTGAGATCGCTGATAGCCTTCACGACCGTATCACCCATGTTGCTGATGACGATAGTAAGTGTTGGAACTGCAAGCAACGACCAGAGTACAAAAAATGCCTTGCCCGAGTTACTGAATGGCTTGTAGTCGCCATACCCAATGGTCAGAAGAGTGGTGTATGCAAAGTACAGGGACTGAAAGTACGTCCATTGCTGCTCATGCTCTGCCTTGTAGAACACCACCGCTCCAATAAGCCAAAGGAGAAGCCACGCACTTCCCGAAATGAAAAGCGCTTGCCACTTTTGCCTAGTCGAAGCTTGTTGCTGTATCTCCCGCATAAGCTCGAACTCTGCCTGTCGCCTCTCTCGCTCCGACATGCCTACTTCCTCGGCCTGTTGCTTGCTCTGAATTGGGTTGAGCTTGTCGGTCTTGTCCTTTTGGATCATTCTTTTTAACAGTAGCTCGCGTTTCTTCTCCACTAATCGACTTCCAAGCTTCTTCTTTCCTCGCTCTAAAACAAGCGAGCGGATAGAGCCAATGACAAGACCCAGAATGACGATGCCGCCAATGGCGTATGGAAACAACAATCCTCGGCCGAGATGTGTTGAAGGAGCATAGTCTCCAATACCCACAGTGAGCAACGTATAATTGGTGAAGTACAATGCATCAAGGAACATCCAGCCCTCAATTTTCGCGTAAACACCAGCGCCTCCGACCATGTATATCATGAAGCTTATCGTTTGAAGCATGAGTGTCCGCTGGCTCGTGTTGAGCTTGAACTCCTTCGAATAATGGCCCCTCCAAGCTCCGATAACAGTGAAGACCATCAAGGAAGCAATGATGAAGTAGAGTGCCGCGGCGAATATAGCATAATAGAAAGCCTGCGTCAAGGCTCGTCTCTGACCAGGAACCTTGACGATGTGAATGATACTTGCAAGGTCGGCGATGAGCAAGATTGATGAAAGGTACCAGCCAAGGATTGTGATGGGTTGAGCGACGGAGAATGATAGGCGGCGAGCCATGTTTAGAAGTAATGAGAAATTGGCAATGATTGCAAGACCAAGCGAGGCGCCATTGACCGCTAAAAGCCTAAACGCTGTGTTAGCATTCAAGAAATCATTGCATCGAGAGGTCCGCTTCTCTCTGGTACGTTGAGGAAAGAGGGGATTTGGGGAAGGATACCATTTCGGATCCCTAACGTCGATTCCATGTGATTCATTGGCTCCAAGTCCCGGGGGAATCTCGACCCTCCAATGCTCAATCAAGGCGCAGATGTTGAAGGCTGTGGCCATGGGGCCAAAGGTACCCTAGATCTAGTCCTCAGCCAAACACACACCAAGACTTGTCATCTGATACGTACAGCGAGCAAGGGAAATGCTGTCGAAGCAAACCACCATCGACTGCGAGGAAGAAGTCAGCAAGGAATTTTGAGTTGGAAGACATTGTGGGTTTGACCTTGGATCCAGGAATGACTGCTCTACTTCTTGCTCAAAATCCTCCTCCTCTTTCCTCACCCCCTCAATTTTGTTCTGCGTCTGATTGAGAGGCTCGTGAAGCCCGGGGTCGTTCATTGTGGCAGCGTCTGTCGTTCGCTGGAGGTAGGGCTTTGAGGAGATTAATGAGTGTGCGGTTACTGCATACGAAGGCGTGGTCTGTAGGAGGCTACATGGTGAAAGGAAAGAAGATAAATAGAGAGACGAGCAGGAGAGACACGCTTCGGGTTGAAGGAGGGGAGGGCGAAAGAGAGCGGTGTCGAAGGAAGGCGTCTTTTGTTTTGCAGCTGATCTCTTTTGGTGCAGCCAAGGGAGCATCAGTAAGCCAAACATCCCTGCCGAATCCACTTAAAGGAAGTTAAGGTAGATACGTAACATAACCCAAGCTCGCCAAGGTTTTAATTAGAGTTTCCCCACAATTTCTGATTGCATAAAGTAGCTACTTACAGTAAGGTACATGTACCTTACATGTACATGTACCCACTTTACTTTATTAAACGGCGCACGGGACGAGGGGCACCACACGTGACACACTAGCCTATTCCCACCCCTATATTCAATTTCAAAGGGGTTGAAGGGGACACTATCGATAAAAGCATGGTGGCAGCTACGTACATTAATCGTAGATACATTAATCGTAGATACATACAGTATTCTAGCTGATCCACAGGGTTTTCATAACTCTACTATCGTCCGTGTTCGTACCCACGTACGCTCACACCCAACTTCCTGCCCATCTTTTCACCCATGAAACCCACTTGGACGCGCGAATTCAAGACTCGACCTTACAAAGCGCAACACAGAAGTCCCTGAAATCTCCCTTGGTTCCCTCTTCAATGGCAGACTCCAGCCGTTTGCCGTATTTCTGCTTGTAAGCCACTTTGACTCTCTCAAAATGCCGTGACTCCCAGTGAAACCGCACCAGTCGGCTTACTAGTAGCTCAACACGGTCTTTCGACGTTTCCGCCAACGCTTGGTGCAAGAGGAGGGCATCACGAACAGATTTATTCAGAACGCCGTTGAGGATATGCGCGAGGGTTTCACCCTATTGGGAATCAGTTTTACGGGTATCATCAGCAAATACGGCGGGGACCCACGTACGACTAAGTTGCGAGATTTCTGGATCATCTCTCTCGCAAAGTTCTTCCGATACTGGCTCTCAAAGACCCGCAAGACCTCGGCAAGGTGTTTGTCGCTTCTGACGACGATGATGTTGATCATCGCTGTCTCTCCACCCTCCTTAGCGGTCAAGGCACGGTAGAGGTCCTGCGCGTCTCTGCGTACGAGTTCGATGGAAAGCTTGTCGCTCTCCGACATGCGCTTCTCTTCTAAAGCAAGTAAAACAGCATATCGGAACTTGTCCTTCTTCAGTTCGGTCTGCATGCATTTTTCCAGACTGTTATTGTACCGCTGATCGCTGAATGCATCTTTGATCTTCATGATTTCGCTATTCGTACGGCCCATAAGACTCTCAATCAGGAGTTCTCGCCGTGAGGTGTTGGATTGATACCAAAAATTTGCCCAGTGCGCCTCGCTCTCCCATCGTCCGAGAGCCGTTGCGTAAGCAACCTTTCCAAGGTTGCCGGTGAGTTTCATTTTGATGTGCTTAGCGATATTAACGCCTTTGCCTTGCGCTTTCATGTGCTTTTTGTATTCTGTCCTTAACATCAGAACGTGATCATCCGAGAGGTGAGGGAGGATCTTGATGATAGGTTTGGCCTCAGGTGTCGAGTGTTTCAGAGCTGCCGCGAGTGCAAGAGCGTCGGGTTCAGGGTGGTAAAAAGAAACGGTCTTTCTTCGGAGTGTCGACTTCTTGGAAAGATGGCCTCGCGAGTGGTCAGAGTCTCCGGATGAAAGTTGTTCCAAGTCCGAGAGACCTTCATCCATAGTTGATGGCAGCATCAATGGAGAAGGCATTGGCGATATTGATTGGTATGTACCACGGTAGGATTCGAGGAGCGGACTGCCAGGTGGTAAGCCACCTTGCATATGGCCGGAATGCTGACCCGGTGCTGCAAGAGACAACCCTCCAGCAGCTCCTCCTGAGACCGATAGGCGGTGCAGCGTTGGCGGAGATGGCGGAGCATGCGAACCATGATAGGGATTGACCTCAACAAATTGAGGCTGGGCGCTCATTGTGTAGGAAGGTTTTCTGCCGTTGGTCGCATAAGCACTTAGATCTGCGTATTGGTACTGGGCATACTCTGGTCCACGCGAGCTGATGGAGCCAGAGTGCGTTCTTTGACCTTCGGGTCGAGATATAACTTGAGGCTGGGCATACCTACAGCAGCATCAGTCAAATGAGAACACTGTTGGCTAAAGGACTTGGCAATGCGTACTGCGGGTGGGGGGAATGGCCTCCACTGAATCCTCCAGGCATCGACAGCTGGCGATACTTCTCTCCGCCCTCAACGCTGCTGGTGCTCATATGTCGCTTAGGTTCTGCCGGTCTTTCATGACGCTCCGGCGATGCGTAGCTGCTATGGCGTTCTCGCTCGTATTTTGATGTCGAGGTCTCAATGTATTCGCCTTTGCGAGTCAAAGCGACTTGTTTGGAACTCTTATGTTTGCTCTTCCTGTCGTCTTCGCTCGAGCTTGAGCTAGGTTCACTCTTATCATAGTGGTTCTTGGAGGATCTTTTCTTAGACTTGCTGTCGGAGTCGCTGTCACTGTAGTATTTCTTCGAGGACTTCTTCTTGCTCTTGGTGTCCGACTCACTCTCGTCGTGATGTTTCCTCGAAGACTTCCTCTTGGATCTTGGGTCCGAGTCACTGTCATCGCTATCATAGCGCTTCTTGGAGGACTTCTTCTTCGACCTTGGGTCTGAATCGCTTTCCGAGGAGTCCTCGTAGTGCTTCTTGGAGGACTTCTTCTTCGACCTTGGGTCTGAATCGCTTTCCGAAAAGTCGTCGTCGTAGTGCTTCTTGGAGCTCTTCTTCCTCGACCGAGTGTCTGAATCGCTTTCGCCGCTATAATACTTTTTCGAGGACTTTTTTGTCTGGACGACTACCACTGGTGACGGGGCTCTCACGTCTCGCGATCTCGATCGTTCATCCTTGCGGCCTGGGGATTTGGAACGACCTCTGGAACGGCCATCGTCGACTCGGAGAGACATTGCTCACAAAGACGAGCTATGTCGCATCCAATGCCTTTACACCGTTCCGACCAGTGACCGTTGCGAGGCTTTTTGCGACTCGGAGCCATTCTGAGCTCAGCTGAAGCGGGGCAGTTACGCGCCAAGGATTCAGTTAGCTTCAAGCCGCGTTTTTGACTCTTTAGTCATGAAAAAGCGCGCTCGAGATAATAATGGCTGGTCCTCTTAGTAAAGTCCGCAGAGAACTGCTCGTTGTTTGTCATGCGCAGCATGGTATGGGTTTTGTGTTCACCGTCCAAGATCACGAATTTTATGTGGACAGTCTGTCGAGGCAGGGGTAGATTGCCTTCAACCAATCATTCAAGATTTTGCTCCCCTTTAAGTGGTAATGCCCGGTCCAACAAGCTTTGTGCCAGTCCTCCAACGTCTTGGAAACGAATGTTTCCACCAACTGTCAAAAAGGAAGGTCTTTCAGCTCGCACTATTCCGATCATCAGAGTCGGGGCGTCGCCGGCGCAAAGGAACAGCAGGCTTAAATACGACAAGGTACCAGCGCCAACAATACGGCAGCTGGCTCAGATCCATCGTCAATTCGTTAAAGGCAGCAACGGCTCAGACACGAGAGATCCTATTTCAAGATGGAGCAGCATGAGTGATCATCGCTGTTGGCTCTGAAAGGGGCAGGCGTAAGACATTGAGCCCCACCGAGTCCGTTCCTGGATCAAAAGGGCACCAATCGTCGAATAGACGCAGCCCACGTTGCCTCGCCATCAAAGTCTTCTTCACCCCCACGAATAACATCATGCATAGATCCGTCATGCGCAAGACACCTTCTAGTTTCCAACCTCTGCAATTGCTCCATATTGAGCTTGTGTCCGTCAAGGCATACTGCTGCTGACCTCGGTCGTTGCCAAATCAGTTACTTGTCTGCGCCAATGAGCACTTTCTCTTTCACAGCGTGTTCTTAGAGGTAGGCGTACGCTCCGAGCTCAAGATGGAAGTCAGCTGGTATAAAGAGTGGCTGCTCCATCAGTTGCAAGCCACCATTATTCCAATTTACCCCTTTCCTTAAATACCTCCTTCGAACCATGTCTCCTACTTTCATTTTCCTCAACTTTCCGATGGCTTTTCTGCTACAAGCCGTCTTGGCTTACCCGTCCCCGGCGCCAGTTTTCGAGCGTCAAAGCACTGTAGTCCCAGACTACGTTTCAACATATGGTTTGCGACCGATAGCTTCCACAAAATTATACGTTTGATGCTCATCCTTTATAGCACCTGTGGTATGGCTCTACCCTGGCGAGAATTACTTTCCATCCGACATTGGAGCTCAACTGGTCCACACGAAGCCAGAGATCAATTTCACTGTCGTCGAAGGCTATGAGAATCCGTTGACGCTCAACAACCTCGACTCTCTAAACAGTTACGGTACTGGTGGTACGGACGTCTACCTCACGTCTGTCGATGACATCACCACGAATCCCGCCTGGCTAAATGGCGTCAAGCCTGACAGCACGGGGAAGACAGACGGAGCTACTAGCGTTGCAATAATTGTCAATGACCATGGCGACGGTCTTGTCGACGCCTTCTACATGTACTTCTATGCCTTCAATTGGGGAGGGGTCCTGTTGGACATTCAAGAGGTTGATCTTCACGTTGGAGTATGTCCGTTCCAAGAAACATGTATTCTTCATCACTTACATCCGTGTGAAGGATTGGGAACACAATATGGTCCGCTTCCAGAATGGAACGCCCACACAAGTCTGGTACAGTCAACATGGTTTCGGCGAAGCTTTCACCTACGACTGCCTAGAGAAACAAGGCGTACGGCCAGTCACATACTCTGGTAACGGCTCGCATGCGAACTATGCTATCAACGGGACACACGATCACACCATCCCAAACGTGAATCTTCCCGATGCGGGCATCCTCACAGACTATACTGACAAAGGAACTCTTTGGGACCCCTTACTGGGCGCCTACTTCTACAGCTACGATGCAAGTGCCAAAACATACACGGCGTATGATTCTTCGTATCCCACAGCCTTTCTGCAGTACCTCGGTACGTGGGGCGACGAACAGTATCCCAACTCAGATCCCAGACAACACGAGATCTTGGGCATCTCTGCAACTGCAGAGTTCACCAGTGGTCCGACGGGCCCAGAAGATAAACAGCTAAACCGAACCGAAGTGTGTCCAGCGGCCAGCGGTTATGTGTGTGATGTTCGTACAGAGCTCACTTCATGAGGAGCCAGAAACAGGTTGGACCTTCGGAGTTTGATGCAGTTTTTATATATCGCTAGGAGAGAATTAAATTGAGATCCGTCGTTACTCTACCTGTTAATGAAAATGTGTGACATTACACTGCTGATCGTCAGGCAAGCTAGCAGCAAAAGTGACAGTCAAGAACTTTAGACCCTATCTATCATTCTCATGTAGAGGTTGGACTTCAACGGGGAGCTTTTGTGGTTCATGACCGAGATTACTTCAGAAAGAGCGTTGGATAGTCCAGATATATCCTCGTTGGTGTTGCACTCGAGGAATGTTTGAGAATCTGCACCGTCTCAAGTGACGCTTTTTCTTTCTGCTGTGGGGCACCAGGGGGATAGTAAGCGGGGATGCGAGGAAGGTTCGGCAGTGATTGGTCTCTAAAAGCTTATATCTGAGCCTCGTAAATAATAGTCCCCGCTCGAATCATGACCCCTAACAACTCTCCCTAGTACTCGTACTCGTAGGTACGGTATTTACTGACATTTCTGGCCTTGTCTCAATCTCTTGGACAACCACCCTCCAGTCGCTGGCTGCGCTAAAACACCCAAATGAAAGCAAAGTGACACTACTGTACCGGCATGAAGATGTACGCGACGACGTGCATTGCTACAATCGATAAGAATCATAGGAGGAGTCATACTGCAAGAGATAAGATGCTAGCTGTGCTGTAGTATACAAACTTTGCGCCAGGACTGCTTGTCGTGCACGGTCACCGAGCATTCCCCCACATTGTTGTCTGCCAAGACACATCTTGTCGCTCCTCACGTTTGCCAGAGCTCCATGACAACACATGCCATCGCGCTTTCCTTTTTCAAACAGAGTCGCGCCAATCATATCGCCCCAATATGCTGCGCTCAGCTACCCCTCAGCAACGACGTACCGTGAGCGATTCGCTCTCCCCACAGGAAGAGTCATATCAAAGTGTTACCGAGTCAGATAACCGTGTCAATGGCTCTCTGCGGCGCAAAGGCTCCTTCAGCTTCTTGAGACGAAGCAAATCTCGGGAAAGGTCGACCTCTAGATCGAGTACGCCTGCCCGAAAATTGAGCAAGAAGGACCGGTCGAGGGTACGCCAGCAAGAGATGATGCAGGAGCAGATACCTTCCCCTCCACCTAGAATACCTATCATTCCCCATCCACCAGACCTGCAAGGATTTGGTGGCGAAGACACAAGGCCAGATAGTGTAGCCATCATGTCGAATCGAGCAGGAGGTTCATTCAAATATAGGCTAGCACAGAAGTCATCACAGGAAACGCTCGGTTCAGACATGTACCGTGGAATGCCAGTCCCGCCAGTCCCACCAATCCCACCAATCCCAGGAACAGCCACCAAATACTACGTGGATGCATTCCCCAGAACCGAGAGCCTGGTACACCGAGGACGTTACAGCTACGCAAGCAGTGCCATAAGTACAATCAACAGTCCGAGGAAGATCAGGCGGAGGAAAGATCCTACTCCTTTCAAGTAAGCTATCCTGCTTGGAGCAAACATCCTACAGGCTCAGCTAACAGTGCCACAGCATACTGGTAGTTGGTACGAAAAATTCCGGCAAAACCTCCTTCCTTAACTTCCTCCAGATCTCCCTTGCTCTGCCACTGTCGAAGCGGCGACAACAGTCTCGTGATGATGATTACTTTATCGTATCACCCGCCTCTACTGGAGCTTTCTCAAACTTTACTTCCCAATATGTCGAGACAGAGATCGAAGGCGAGCGGATTGGAGTCACGCTTTGGGATTCAGAAGGGCTCGAGGCGAATGGAGTGGATCTCCAGCTGCAGACCATGACCACGTTTATCGAGAGCAAATTCGAAGACACTTTCAACGAAGAAAGCAAAGTGGCCCGTGCTCCAGGATTGCGAGATACCCACGTTCACTGTGTCTTCCTTGTCCTTGATCCTCGCCGTCTGGACGCCAATATGGCCGCCGCCCAGAGAGCCAATGAGATCAATGGTGTCAAGGATAGGGCCAACTCCTTCGTCCGTGGCCGGCCAGAAAGCTCTGTTAGTGGCCTGGATGAGAATCTCGACTTGAACGTGTTACGTGCACTGAAGGGTAAAACGACGGTCGTTCCTGTAATTGCCAAAGCCGACACCATTACGTCTGCACACATGGTACACCTCAAACGTGCAGTCTGGGACTCCCTGAAATCGAATGGCCTGGAGACTCTTGAAGCTATCACTCAGGACGATGATGAAGATGAGGGATCCGATGCCTCAGCCGAAGGCCCAAAGAACAATCACCTCGACGAGCGAGATGGAGAAGTAATCAAGACTGAAGGGGACAAATTTTCCATAACCTCTGTGCTCTCCTCTTCCTCAGACTCCAGCTCTGCCTTTTCAGCATCCGACTTTGACCTCGCCAAGCCCGGTAAACCCTCAAAATTTTCTCCAGTACGCACTCCATCTTCGCCAACTGTCCCTACGCCTCCACCGGCAGAACCTCCGGCGCTTCCCCTGTCGATCATCTCTCCTGACCCCTACGAGCCGGACGTCATTGGGCGCAAGTTCCCCTGGGGTTTGGCAGATCCCATGAATGCCGAGCATTGCGATTTTGTGAAGCTGAAGCAGACTGTTTTCACGGAATGGAGGGGTGACCTGAGGGAGGCGAGCCGGCAGCTTTGGTATGAGGGCTGGAGAACAAGTAGGCTGAATAAAAAGGCGAGACGCGATGGAGGATTGGTGGGCGATGCGAGAAGTCAGATGTGGGCCAGTTGAGGAACCTAACGCAAGACCCAAAAGTTGAGGTGAAAGCTAAGGTGGAGTTTCCATATGCAGTCATTACTTTCTATTCTTATACCCCTTAGTTCGATGTTCTTCTATTCAATTTTGAGCGACTGCGTATCTAAAAGCATTGACGACTTTGTAAGATATTTGGCAAAGCCGCCTGGAGCGTGTTGTATGTCTACGCTTACAGGCTGGTCTATAGGTAGACTCTACGAGCTGTCTATATCGAGATAGTCTATAGCAGCCGTGTTACGACTTCGACTCTCCATGTTGTCATCTCCGTCCAAGCTCAATAATGAATGGAGGTCCTTCGCTTATGAAAGAAAATTGTCTCGTTACACACACGTGCTAAGACACGGAGATGTGCAGCTGCGATTGAGCATAGAAAACAGGCCCTCACCCTCACAGCCAGACTGTTTCCCGACTTCAAAACCCAGAATGTCGCTCAACACATGAGCAACTGACAGAGCAGCGCAAGCCAAAGTCACAGTCAACAATACGAGGAGGTCCGACAAAGCTGCCAAACATGCGCAATACATAGAGAAGGTCAACAAAGTGTGGGGCGCTCATTCCATCATGTGAGTTGATGCTCTAATCCTTCGTATTTTTTTCCCTACCCAAGAGCGAATGCCGATGGTGACAGACAACATCCTCAACAATACACCTCGATCCCTCTGAGGTAAAGACAATATGCCTAGAGCTTCTCGCAAAGCCTGAACTCCCTCCTTGGACCCGCATGAAATGCAATCTCTTGCTCGGTATCTGCCAAGACGTGATGGAAGCGAAGTACTACTTACTGTAAGCAGAGAAGCAATGCGTGGAGCCCTTAGCCAAGTGCATGGAGAAAGAGCATGAAGAGATATCAGTCCATCAAACCATCATTCGAGAGACGCTAGAGGAGTTGAAGCCGGAGGAAAGACAGTTCCGCATGGAGATGGCTGAATGGATTGGGGGCGATGATGCGCTGGTGAAAATTGCGTTTCGATGGTCCAATATTGCGATTCGCTGACTGGTCTAGATTACTGCAGGTCAAGAAGCAAGCCAGGGGCACAGTAAGATGGCGCGATGGCGATTTGGGCGGAGAGTTGGTGGACGCTACGGCTCGCTACCTTAAGACTAAGGCAGCCCTCAGAACGAACCCTGGACTTTTTGACCTCAATCTTGCCCACCACGTCCACAACATGATCCATCTCAGCCACCTTCCCACTCCGTGCCCCATTGTCTCAAAAGTCTGAGGGGTGCCGATGTTGAAGACCCACGGGACTGTCCTCGCAAGATCGTCAAAATTGCACCCATGCATCTTTAGGAAACGCCGTTACCCCAATTTTCACCTTTTGCATGATGCTAAATGCCTAACCTGCTCAGCTATCCAGAGCTAGTGGTGTAGGAATCCCGTTTCTTGAAGCTACTGCCCAGGTCGACGGAGCTTCGAGGTCCAGATTTGGGGAGGCAGTATTGCCGCTCGAGTGATGCTCCTTCCCGTCAGCCTCGATGGCCGCCCGCATCCCGTGCCTGGCGCTTCTACAGGGTTTAATTCCAATGCCTCACCTCATTTTACAAGAGATTATTATTTTCAAGCCGGAGTGGTACCTGGCAGACTTGCAGGCATGTGCTGGTCCGGATTTGAACTGATGTTGAAGGTTTCGCTCTTGCTTATCTGGTAGTAAACAACGGTCCACGACGCTTTCTGTGTCTGAGAACGTATACAAAAACCACCTCACCCTCGTTTCATCTGCAATTTCACTGTTGCGCAAACCCGCTGTGCTGTACTTCACAACACTCTCTGTTTCCTGCTTGCCAATCATGAAGCTTTCATACATACAGACCCTTCTTCTCTGCTTCCTTTCAACCCTGATCTCAGCCCACTCCTCACCACCCTCCACAGAGGGTAGCCCATGCGGTACCTGCATTCAAGACAATGAAGTCGAAGGCATCGCACAACGCTGGCTCAATGCTTTCGCGACCGGCGGGCTCCCCACGCTCGATTCAGCTGTTACAGAAAATGTGCGCCAAACCTTCCCTTCGTGTATAATGACGTTTAGCTGACAATGCCATTGGACAGATTATGATCTACGACGAAGGCGCCAACAACGGCACCACCTCCGCCTACGTCCACAACCGCACGGAATTATACAATACCATCAGCGAAGGGCCATATGGAGGCAACGGTGTGACGAACGTGACATACGACGTCGTCTTCACGTTCCACACGTGCGATAGGATTGCGTTGAGGTGGCAACAGAACGAATACACGACTGCTGATATCGGATATGGGAGGTGAACAACCGCTCTTCTTATTTTCAACAAGATTGTACGTGCAGAGCGAGGCGCTGACAGTTCGTATAGCAAAGTAGCAGCGGGCAAATATATCGAGTTCAAGGGTACGGATTTGCTGACTATTGATCTGGCGAGCAAGAAGGTGGAGAATGTGACGACGTCGGCAGACCTGCTGAATGATTATCGGGCGTTGGGGTATAACTTGGGTGTCTTGAACCCAAGCTGAGCGCTTTGCCCAGCTGTTCATATTCCCCTTCTCGAGACGACCCAGGTTTTGTTACAGCCTCTGAAGTAGAAATCATCATGTATAGAGCTGGAGATGTTGTGAGCCTCGGCCAGAGCTCACGAATACAGCATGAATTTCTTCGTCAGCGTGAATCCGTCCTTTGTCTTGAAGAGCGGCAGGTATGGTGGTTCTTTTGCTTGGATACACCAATCTTCCACTATTCCCACTGTCCTCCCCTAATCACCGGCCTTGCTGGATCCCACGGGCCAATAACCACATTCTTATATCTTTGCAACCCAATCAACCACCAGCTGCATCCTCCCATGCCGACCACACTGCCGACGCACCATATCAGCGCTCCCGCTATAGCTCTCTTCCATCCCCCATGCCACAGAGGCTTAGCACTCAATGCCGTCCCCAGACCCGCTCCAGCGCCCATGACCAATGCTAATGTCATAAATAGATGCCCGCGCCAGCTTATATGCCTCAAGTACCTCCTAAACACTGGAAAGAGCCCGAATACCTCGATGCTAAAGAGGGTTAAGCTGAAAACGTGCGTCGTGCTGGGAAGCCTGCTTGCCAGCACTGTGCTGGCCATCAGCGCCGCATTTGTGCTTAGGGACGCATGGAATTTGACCCCCACGCCCCCACTGTAGTCGAAGAAGAATATGTTGATGCACATGAGCCAGCAAGTCATTGCCCAGATGGAGTCGCTGGTGGTGGATTCCGTCAAAGATTTCAAGATGGGTGAGAGGCCGAGAAGTGCGATGTAGATCAAGATAGCTGACTTGGCGGTTGCGAGGCGGGAGTGAGTGTGGGGTGTTTGGCTTGGCGTGGTCGAAGGTGTGTGTAAATGGGGGTTCGACGGGTGATGGGAGAGGGTCGGAGAGGGTGCAGAGGATGTTGAAGTCTGCGAGTGTGAGTGCGAATGACCTTTTCGAGGGAAATTGTTGGTCGAAAGGGTCAGCCCGAGGCCGATGGTGGAGGAATTGGGGCTGTAGTTTGAAGGCATCGCGGCTGTAGTGCTGATGGGAGAGCTAGCGCCGCTCAGCGCGGAGCCGTTGATAGATTCGCCGTTGCTATGGGGCTCTGCGATGATCTTTGAAGCTGCTTCTTGACCAACCCAGAAATCCCAGAGCACCCAGCCCAGGACCGTGCCAGCGCTGCCCCAACTGACGACCGAGACTGGTGAAACACGTTGCTGGTAGATGCCAACGAAGGAGCAGACGAAGATGGCGACGGAAGAAATATGCTGGACGATGACGGTCGAGTCTGCTACCAGGGGCCAGAAGTCGTAGGGGCGAAGACGGGGGTTTCGTTGAAGATGGGACAGGAAGGTAGGAGGGTCGGTGTAGTTGTCGGGATCTGCAGTCATCGTCAGACTTACATCGTTGAGCAATTCTAGGTAGATGATCACTCACAATCCTTCTGCTTGACCCATAGTAATTTTTTCCATACACCCCTCCCTCTTCGACTTCCGCTGCGCGCTCTATCTTTGCCACGTCTCCGTCGAGTAGAGCCTGCTGGTCTAATACTCAGACCATCGGTCACAGTAGATATACTGTCCAGGGCGCTATATCGATCGATGGGCAGCTGTCTTCTAGGTGGTGAGTGCGCGTAAAATGCATCTTCGGGGGCTAGGTGATTGGGATCTGAGAAAGGTCTATGTGGGATTGGCGGCTTCTTTTGGGCAGCATACTGGAGATTTGGCGATGCAGCAGATGGCTGGGTAGGTGTCATTGATTGTACAGATGTTGTCGAAGCTCCATTGTGCTTGTGGTAGGCAGATGCGTCGAGGCGGAGGGATGCTGTACATTGTGGGTAGCGGCCTTGGCGGCTCTTTCCAGCAACATACTGTAGAGTAATTGGCTGGCCTACTCAACATCCACTATCCATCATACATCATGAAACCTAACCTTTCTCTCTCTCGATGACACTTGCAGTAATCAAGAAGATACTACGGTTGGAATACATTGTGATCTACTTGGTGGTGAGCGGTTTCCTGGCTGCAAACCTGGCATGGGTGGTACATTATTTCACCAGCCCTAGTACACGTTCATCGACTACAGAATTGTATGCAGAGCTGGCGTATATACATCAGCAACGACAGAATTCCACTGAAGACACGTATGTGATTACAGAGAGAGAGAAAGACATGCAGGATTGGCGAAACTTGTGGAGAAAGGAGTTGGAACTGAGAGAGGCGATCAAGAACGCTTACAGATAACTATTACAAGACAGTCACAAGATCACGTTTTACCTGGCCCTAGGACTGGGATCAAGCAAATTCTTATGCTCTCTGGGTATGTGTCTGGTGCCAGAAAAGCTGCCAGCATAAAATGGACTTGCGGCAATAGTCATCCCCAGTATGAGCACTGAAAGCACGATTGCAAAGGGGCACTATCCTCTAGTGGAATTTCTATTCGATATTCATTGTGGGTGTGGTTGGTCTTCTGCACTCTTTTGGGCTTAAAGAACTATCGTGCTAGAGCTCCGAACTGCAATCAACCTTCCTAGATCGTTCGCCTTAATCGAAGTGCATAATAATGCAATCGGCCGGGCATTCTTTTGCTGACCATCTCACCGTCTGCTGAACTTAAAGTGCTTTGCAACGAAGACTTCGGGATCCAGGATCTTGGTCAGATAAGCCGTTAGCTTCACATCAAATAGTGACCTGAAAGGATTCACAGAACACCGTCCCACAACGTAAAGAATTCGACGCTCATCAGTCCCTGTGACGAAACCGATGCTGATACCAATTGCGCGACAGAACAGTAAGTACATTTCGGAATAAACCCTTCCTGTTTGGTAGCAGATTGGGGCCACACCCCATGTTTCGGCAGCAGACAGCTCCTTTACTCCCCCAGAGCTGTCTCGTAACTGGGATGGATTGTCATATTCCGGACCCGGAAGGATTCTTCCTCTCTTCGAAGGTGTTACGTTTCTCGGTTTGTTTCCCAAAAAGAAAAGCACTGACTCCGACATCTGCGCTATCGGGTCACCTAGGTCATGTCTTGGGCTATATCTCCGGCTGAGCTTTCTGATCCCTTTGGCTGCGAGTTAGCAGTGTGAGCATGCCCATCGTGGGGCCTACGACGTGGGCTGCCTCTTGGCGGGCACTGGTATGATAATCCTCAGACAGGAAAACGTCCGGGAGAGACCATCAGGGACAGTACCAGAGCTCGCTCCTTCCCGGACTCAGGATTTTGCACAGGGAACTTACAAAGTAAGAGTGTCGGCAGGGTCGGGCATCCCGGCCCACCTACCAGAGTTGGATATACAGAATGTTGGCACACAGGACGGATTTGTGAGGACTTGAAGAGTTGCCACGGATAGAGAACCGCTATCTTCTCAAATACAGAAAAATGCTGTCTTACCGTCTTGCTGTCTTGCAGTGTATCGAAATCCGCCTCGCCCACAGCGCTCGATCAACAGCTAAATGGCGCAGTAACCTGCCTACTCGCGTAAGCATCCACGATCTGCTTGATACTTACATACATCCCCGCCACACAAATAAATGCTCCCGCCGCCAACGTTGCTACGCTTAATCCCGTCATCGGCCACCGCGTCTTCAGCGCCAACATCCCTCCTTTATACACCCAGGCATCATACAGCCAGAACGCTCCAGCTATGCCGTAGGTATACCAACTCGCAAAAAGACTAGCGGCAATGCCGATCAAATAATTGAATATGGGTACACCCACGGCCAGTACGAACGCCGCAGCATTCATCAGAAAAACTAGGGTTATCCAAACGGCCCAACCCAGCACAGTATTGGTATACAGATGCCTACTTTTCCGAAAGAACCTCACAAAAAGTAGCTTAGCAGCCGTATGCGAATATAAACTCCCCGCGATCAGAAAATTGGGAATAGCAATTCCATAAGCCGCCTTCTGCCATTTATCAGGCAAGCTCGTGAAAGCTGGCGACGCAACAGTCGGGCCAACATAGATATACAACACCACAGCAAAAACAACGTAGAACACGGTAGCGAATGTCTGCAGCACCCAAGCCGCGCGCATAGCATGTTCAGGATGCTTCATCTCTGAAATCAGGATGAAAAACATGAAATGTCCCGCATACGCAAACACGGGGTTCGTGACACTGATGAACGCAGTCACGAAATCCGTCTTCATGGCTACACTGAAATTAGCGACAGGGAAATTGATGCCTGCGCCAATCATGCCAACGATGCCAGCTACGATGATGCTGATCACACTGGGCACGCTGAGCCAGGAGAGGCTGTCGAGGGTGCGCGGGAGTGAGCATACGAGGGTGGGGATGGCGAAGATACCGGTGTAGAGCATGAGGCAGAGTTTGCCGTTGGAGAGCTAAGGCCTGTTAGGCTGGATTTCGAGGGCAGATCTTCGAATGTTTGACTCACAGAGCCAAGAGCAATCTGGCCAGCAAGCAATTGGCCACCAGTAGCGAAGACAGCAAAGACAATGGTGCCGAAAGAGAGAACTTCACGCCCAACTGGGCCGAAGAGGATCAGGCCTGCGTCACCCATATTATGGACTGTGCAACATATGTCAGCTGATCCAGCTCGAAAATATCGCTGGAACCTGGTTCCATACCCTCTGGATGTCTGAGCTTGAATTGAATTAAGATCCAGGCCGTGAACAGTCCAAACACGCCGAGAAAGACGATAACGACTATGCCCGGCACCAGACCCACAACAGCTAGTGACGAAGGCAAAGAGAGCATCCCATTGCTCACGATCTCGGCTATCATAAGGACAGCAACGAGCTCCCAAGAAAGCGTCTTGTATCTGATCTTTGGAGGAGGGAAGAGTCAGTCAACAGTTTCAGATTTGAAAATGGAAAGATCTATCCAATACTGAGGTGATTGAGCATCAGTGCTGAAAAGATGGGATTGAATTACGAACATCGTGCTCCTCCTCATGGCCAAAAACGTCTTTGTTGTCATACGCCTCTCGCTCACGCAGCGTCTCTGCACCTTCCAGAGACGGCGAGAGTGACTTCTTTTCTGACATCGTCAATACCGCAAAACACGAAACCGTTACACAGCTCCTCCGAGACAATAGAAAGCAACATGGCCAGATGTAGCTTTTCCTCGATGTCTACGGGATGCAGCTGTAAGCGTTATTGTCAGAGCTGACTGCCCGAATAGGAAGGTCGTTAGCGATAAGGATGGGGAACAACGGATGACATAGGCGATAAGGTAATCCATCCGACTTGGACTCCCAGTAAATCTAACTCCTTAGCTGATTTGGCTCCAGAATGCTGGCTGCGTCGAATTTGATTGTCGTTGTTGAGATCATGTTCCGAGATCGTGTTGACAGAAGGCCGACGCGTACCTCTGAAGCCTGGGATCATAGATAAGAGAATGACTGGTCTAGGTTCTTCCTTGAGTCGACAGTTCCACTTCTCTGGAGGAAGAGACCAACCTCGCCCAACATATGATGGCAATTTGGCGGCGACAGCGAGGCGTTTCCCTCAAGTAGAACAGCCACGGGACCAAGACATTCGAAGCAACACTATGGCGGGAATATCATTGTTCTTCGTAACGTAGCACGATGACACAGACTCGCGAAACTGGCTCCGTGGCCAATGTTGCAAACACCGAACGACCTTTTGCCCTCGTGAATCACACAGCGCATCTTTCAGAGTCCGTTGCTCCAGGACCTTTCTCCTAGCGCTCCGGCCCACGCGGGAGGTGCACATCAGTCCGGCGACGTCGTGCATACTGCTCTAACTACATTTACAGCACGCATGCAGCTAGAGCTGCAAGGCGCGGCGAGCGCAAGGATGAAAAAGCGCATGACGATGTTTTAGCGTCGCTGTGGATGGGTCTAAACATCGGTCCCCTCAACTTTATACCAACTGCATTCTGAAGATGGTCGATAGGTGTGTTGGGAAGACGACAGTTACCGTCCGAGTGGGGAAAAAGAGATGAAAGGAACTTGCACAGGAGGGGGGGGGATGTTGGAAGACAGGAGGCAAGTTGGAGTTTCGTGGGGACAGAGCTAGCGATTTCTGGCATGCCACACACCATTTTGATGGAAAGGGCTCCGTGTCGTTCAATGCGAGGGAGCGAGGGGAAATGTGGGGGATTTTCCGATCTGATCATCGTATTAAGATACTAAAGGTAGAGATCGAACTCAGATAGGGTATTTGACCAATTCCCACCCATATACCAACGACGCTGTTGAATGAAGCGAGAGATTATCCACAATTGGAACCCCGCCCCTCCCATCCCATGCCCGTAGACCCGACGCAAGCCCCATGTACACGCTGCCGCCCTGCCGTACGCTCGTAGCACATTACTGCATCCCTCACCGCCCAGCATTATAATTATAATCCCTCCGCGGATCCAAAGGCTGCCTGTCACTCTCCTCGCCGATGGCCCTCTCCACATCCCACTCCTTCCGCACCCGGACGCCCCGGCCGCCTTTCCTTCTCTCCCAGTCCTTCGCGGGACTCGCCCGGTAATCGTCCTCCTTCGGCGGCACCGGCGGTCCCCTCGGCCGGACCGGCGAACTCGACGACGGACTCCTCACGCCCACGGGTGACGCGAACATCATGTCCGCCGCCTTGCGGTCCACGTACCGGGGCGGCGGGGACGTCGTCGCCGGCCCCCCCGGGCCCCCAGGCCACCGGGGCATCTCCGGCATCTCCTCCCCCGTTCCCGAGTCCTGCTTCTTCTTCTTCGTCGTCGTCGCCGCGGGGGTCGTCCATCTCGAGCCCATCTGGCTCGGGCGCATGAAGATGGGGATCGTGCCCGACATGACGGACGAGAGCCAGGCGGAGGCGCCGGAGTCGCCGAGTCTGTTGAAGATGGGCTTGAGGACGGGGAGGCAGGCGTTGATGACGCCGAGGAGGGCTTCGAGGCAGGTGAAGAGGGCGAGGAGGGAGTATATCTGTTGGGCGTTGGTGCCGTGGTTCATCGTGGTGATGTCGATCCTTATGAGGGTGATGACGCAGATTCTGCATCCTTCGTTAGGACGAGGTTTCGCGGATATGGGTATTAAGGAATTGTGCGAGGCGGACGAAGGGAAGTTGGACATACATGATGCCCAAACCAAACATGCCGCTCAATGTCCACTTCTTGCCCACAGCCATTTGCAAACCCCACAGCACGGGCATCGGCAGCACTACCACGGTCACGTCCACGAGCAAATTGAAGATCCCAATGAATAGATCCAGCGATTTTTGATCTCCGCAATGGCCACCTGCTATTGAGTGATTCCAATTGAAAGAGATGGGCTGGCAAATGAGACATGCGCCGAGGATGGTGGCGGCGCCGAATACTGCGTTGATCCCATGGACCACATAGCAGGTCATGCGGAAAGATTTCGTCCGGAATATGCGGATGTAGAGGGCGAGGATCGAGGCGCGGATGAAAGTAACGGCGACTGCCCAGGTCACTTGGCCGACGAGCAGAGCCTGTTGATGCTTTAGTAATGAATAGGGTACCGTCACGGAGGAGAGGCGATACCTTGAATTGAAGCACAACTAGTTTTCCAATGGCCTCAGGATCCCCGTACTGGGTGACATCGCCTCCCAGGTCCCAGTATATATTCGCTACGAGCCATCAGTATGTAGTCTTGAGACGCGCGTAGCAGTTACGTCGAATACTCACAGTGCATTGTGAAGACAGATAATGCCAGCGCCCATATCTGGCATACGTCAGACGGTCTTCACGTGCTTCCTGTCTGGCGCAACGCCTACCAAGCCGACAATGACAAGATAGTCATTCGCCTCCCATATGTTCCGTTGTAATTTTCGAGCCCACAACCTGAAGATAACCGCAACGAGTGCGAGAAAGGAGAAGACGGCTAAGACAACAACATGCGTGACCCTTGTGGGGTCTCGCGAGAATGGAGTTGGCGTCATCCTGTGGCCTTGCTCATCTGTCCTGTAGATGAGATGCTGCTCAACAATGATAGATGATCCTTGGGTTGACGGTGCTGTACGGGTCGGCCCAATTGCCACTCGGAGCAATATTCAAAGGTATGACGGGGGGGAGGACGGGTGGGAGGAAGAAAACGAAAGGAAACACCGCGCCATTAAACATGAATTGTGAGACGCAAACAAGCAGACAGCATTTATGAAGAAACGATCTCCATGCATCATGCTCTCTTAGACTGAGATTATCCAGCGCCGGTAAGACGGCAATTGGGTGGTGCAGCAGGGTGAAAGGAAAGTACATGTTCTGTGCCGTAACGCTCGCTGCTCCTAGACAAGTATGAAACGAGAGGGTAGCTGGTGTAGCATGTGAGGAGAAGGGCTGGACATAATTGAAGGTTTCTGCATGGTCCGTGGTCTTCCCACCATTTCTATCTATGTTGGGGCCGTTGAATGTTAGCAGCAATGTGGTGTTTTGCCCGGCGCAGTGAGAAAAGGCAAAAAAAAGTGGTGAAGGAAAGAAAAAGGCGGGGTCGAATTTGGGCGAAAGTTGGACCGTGGTCGTGGTCCATTTTAGGGTCGCGCCGCAGAGGCGGAGGATGGATGGAATCAGTTAAAGTGAGTAAGGTAACTTACTCTAGTCACCCAGTACTCTACCCCTATACTTTTATCCAAATTCATCACAACATCAGACTTATGCCTCTTGTTCATTAGCATAAAGCTACGCATAAACCTTCTGAATGTATGAATGCGATTGGTCTGTTTGGCCATCATCTGTAAAGTAATTGAATAGGGAGCTGCGTCGACAGAGTTTTGCCTTGACAATTGCTTCCCTCAAATCTCAATGCAACTTCTTCACTCAGGATGTATGTCGCTATGAGGCGCAGGCGAAGCGGCTTACCCTTCTGTATCTGGTCCTTCACTCAAAAGAGACGCCTCAAACACGACTCAGGCTGGTGGTCTGCGGGATGAAACAGGTCCGGATTGATCAGAGCATGAGAGGGTGAGTGCGCCTCTTTTTCCAGACTTCCTGTTCCCAGGCCAAGAGTTTATCAGGCCGGGTTATTCCAGGCTTCAACCTCTACTCTGCTGGCTGCCGCGGAGACCAATGAATGCACGAGAACATAGAAATTGACTCGGCATTTTGAGAAGATTGAAGTGAACACGCCTCGAAGTACATAGCCTAAGAATAATTGGCCTGGTGCGCTTAGGAACCCAACATCCAATTTTATCACGCTCACGCAATTGCTGTGCCTCCCTCCCCAAAATTACTCGCATGCGAAGAACACAGAATACTGCCCCCAACTCCTCGCTCTGGGCTCTGCTATGTATAGACATGCCCAACATCATCCTCACTTCTCCTCTCATTTCATCCACGATAACTTTAGAACTTCTCCATAAAGTTCTTCCTCACCGTCCACATTCGTGCCCTCTTGCCAAAAATATACATCGGCACTGTTGTTGTCAAGCAAGCCAGCTGAATGCCGCCGATCGCAACAAACGTGTTCTTCATCCCGTCGGCATCCAGCCAACGATTGAAAAACAAGGAGAAGACCAGGCCGTGGAAGATGTCTAAAATAACAATGTTAGCACAAGCGCTGAATGCTGTCCACCGGAGATACGCAACTTACTCTTCGAAAAATTGAGAGTGACCAGAGCCTCACCGGCGTATTGGCGATAGCTGTCCACCGCAAAAGTGATAGAAGTGGTACTACCCAGCGCGCACCCAAAGCTGATGATGCCAAAAAACACAGTCGGCACGATCCAGTTGTCTCTCTCCTGAGCACTCCACCCGTAACCCATCAGGCCAATACAGGTCGCAATTGTCACTGGAATCGCCATGACCAGTCGAAACTCGGGCTCATAGACACCGCCATTGCGTCGACTCATGTAGCGCACAATGAGATCGCTCACTTTACCCGCCACAGCGGTTCCCAACACGCCGCCTATGAAGGGGGAAACGTAAACTAACCCGGCCTGAAGCGGAGTAAAGTTGTAGGTTGCCTTGTTCTCGAATATCGTAGAGACCGATTCGGAAAGGACGATCAGCCAGCCAATGCTCAGTGAGTATACCAAAGTACTCCACAGAATGGATGGGTACGCGAAAAGAATGAAAGGGCGAATTGCGACCTTCAACCAATTCTCGTGTCGGAGCTTGCCATTCCAAGGCTTGAGAGTCTGCGCGTACGTCTTGGCTGGCTGAGTTCGGAGGTACGTGGTGTATCGTTGAGGTCCAGGTACCGGAGACCCCACACTGGTTGCCGCTGTCTCACGATTCGTCCCGGTCGAGCCTGGCGTTTCGGGAATGACTTCAGATCCCTCGTGCTCATTCTTCAAATAATCGGTACCTGGCTTCTCAGTGGCGACGTAGAACGGAGAGTTGAAGTTGTGAAGACCAGGCGTTTGGGGCCCTTCGCCTCTAGGCTCAATCCTTGCCGCAAATTTGTGACTCGCTGGTGACAAAGATCGAGGGACTTCTTCACCAGCGTACTGGGCGCCCTCGGCCTGATCACCTTTTCGAGAAGTTCGCCCGTCCTCATCTCCTTGAGGTTTTGACTCCGGGATCAAGACTGCGTCATCCTTCTCCGACGAATCTTCGCTCTCTTTTTGAGCTTGATCGGCAAATCCAACGTGCTGTGCGTTCCTTTGCTGCCTTCTTTCGGCGATCGTTGCGCGGCCGGATCCTGCGGCGGATGCTGAGTTGCCAATGGCGAGTCTTCTCATATCCGACGGCCCGTCGCCACCAGCAGACAGCCCACCTTTCTCGTCCTGCGCGTTACTCGTATGGTGGAAAATTCTCGATAAACCTGCTAGGCCTGGTCTGAGGATTCTTGAACGTGGCCGCGGTGTCCGATCCCAGAAGGTCTCCGGCACAAACAAGAACATGAGCACAAAGCAAAATCCAACGACCATGGCGACTATCCTAGTATCTGTCAGCTTTTTGGACCTTCTTTGGCTGAGACCATGGATTGCTTACCAGAAAACCCAGCGCCAAGACAAGCCTTGGATGATAGCCGCACTAACTAGTGGTATCAGATTCTTGCCACTCAAGAGGAGCAATGTGTATATCCCAAGTCGATAGGCCCGCTCGTGTAGGTAGAAAATCTCAGCAATGGTAGCCGATGGAAGACATTCGACTGGGCTCACTGCTAGCCCCATGAATACCCTAGCGACGACTAGCGATGCGTAGTTTGGTGATACTGCGCACCAAACCGCGCTCACGATGAACAAGACGATGCCCACGAGGTAGACCGGGCGTTTGCCAAACAGGATCGCCGTAGGCGAGAAAACTACCGAGCCCACACCTAGCCCCATCATGTACAGACCAGTGGTAAGGGCGACCTGTGGAATAGAGACGTCGTATGTAGCTGCAACCTCTTTGAAGCCAGCGGCGAGGACCGGTGTCATACCGCCGCCAAGCATGCAGTAGAAGCCAAGAGAAAGCAGAGCAACATCTCGTCTCCAGCTCGGCCAATTCAGAGGATCGTTCATTGATTCCTCGGGCTGAGGTTCTAGTATGATTTTGCCATCTTTGGTCTTTTTCTTCTCCTCCACAGAATGGCCTGACAGTTGCCTGCGGGAGGAGGGTCTTGCGCTTCCAGATCCTGAGCTCGGAGGAAATGGCGAAGGTAAAGAGGAGGCGGATGTTCTCGCTGGTGCGTTGCGCAGACCCAAAGGCTCGTTGTGCTTGGTATTGGACATGAGGAGAATGGAGCCTGGAGAAGCATTGGGTCAGCCTACTGCCAGCCGCGGATATACCTACGGTCCATGGCGAATCCCCTGATGTTGTTGCGCAACAGGCTACGCGCAGTGGACCTGGGTAGCATTGCGCTCAAAACGTACCTGGCACCTCATCGGTTTGTCTGTCGTTGAGGACTCCCATGCTCCATTTCTCTGGCTTGCCCTTGTTTCCATCTTCTTGATCAACCGAGCTCCCAGAGCTCGCCGGTTCTTGGCCGCCCAACATTCGCTTCCAAAATGGAGTTTTGGCCTCGGCCTGATCACCTGGGACGGACTCTGATGGTCGGAGAGAGAGACCGCTCAGCTGCTCCTTTGACGCCATGATCGGTATGTAGCCTCGAGACTAAGGAGGAGGGCGAGCTGAGTGGAAGGAAAGATTGGGAGCTGTAGGAGAGGGTGCTTGAGGAAGGCTTTGGGAGATGTTCAATGCAGAGGGCAACCCAGCTGCCTCTCAAAGCATCTAGAGCCAATGTAGGCTTTCGGAAGAGCGGTTGTAGGTGATGAGTAAAAATAAATATTGGGGACAAAGAATGTTATTATGTAGATATGGTCAAAGGAAGATTGTGACTAGGGTGACCGTCATGGGGGGATCCAACCATGGTTGGGAGTCCAGTGTTGGCAGGCGCAATGGACACGGGGAGGGAGAGGCATGTTATAACGCTGACAGAGAAGACGCCAGATCCCACGTATGAATTGCTCTATTCAAGTCACAAGGTTCAATGGGAGGGCGAATTTTAATTTTGGAAGGATGCTTGGCGGTCAGAGAAACAGACCCCGCTGTTGGCGGCACCAGCGCCAAAACCCCCACTCACGTCAACGAAGTCGAACGTCTTGCTGCCTTTGTCCCAATTATCTTCTGAGTAACAATTAAGGGCTCCTGTAAGAATCATAGTAATCATCAAAGATCTCCAATTGATCCCAAAGGAACGAAGTGCATTTCGCTTACCTACCCCACAATATGGGACCAACGGCCGACTGCCCAGCTGACCAGCAGCACACGGCATGCTGCGGCCGAAACATACGGAATCCCGTAGCGAAACAGTCTAGGTAATTGGATTGGATGTTTTGCCTCCGAACCGGAACTACAGAACCAATGAATCAATGATTCTACTTTATGATTTAATGCATCATCATCGTCTGGCTTTATTGGCCTAGTGGGCGCCAGTGATGTCGCATGTTTGTCTCATCAGAAATAACTCCGCTAAGCAATCATACTGCTGCCGTGTACCTTTCGAATTTACGCACCGGACCACCATCTTTGCCTTACTTGCTACAGTGACAAAGAGAAATCTATCTGTCTCTGTGCTTCTTTCGACGAGTGTATCATGTTACTGGTATTGCTGCTACGCTTCCTTGTCTTCCGGGAGCTTCCCAGAGAAACACCAGAAGTCTGGAAAATCAATTTGCACAAGACAAGACATTCACTACATAGTGACCATACAGCCCTATCGTAGAACAGAATTAGAGGAGATATTCCTTTTCACTAAGAGCACTTTTCATGTCACCTTCACTGAGCCTTGGCATGTCTTTCTTCATCCGTGCGCACGGGTTGCACAAGCCAGCTGGGAATAGCCCGCCCCTCTGGGACTTCACTATTCCTTCTCTGCTTGTCTTCCTTTTCCATCAATCCCGATCATATTCACTACTTGAGAATGAGCATTCCAACAGCCATCTCTATCTGACCAGCCATATTTGCGGAAATGGTCACCAATACCATATACTCTGACTCCCAAATAGTAGTCGTTGACATAGGGTCCGTCCCTGCCACTGCGTCATGGCTCGAGCAGACAACCTACCTCATCGACCAATCAGGATACACCACAGCTGTACTGGCTCAGACGAATCAGCCTACAAGCGGTGTGACCCTTGCACCGGTGCCTTACACTGCCCAAGCACCGATAGCTATACCTTCTATGACAGCGGACGACCTTCCCGTGGGATGGGCGTATAAAGGGTGCTACATCGACTATTCCGAAGCACGCGTGCTTCCTATTGAGCAACCTGCGGACTCAAATCTTACTATCCAGTCATGCGTCAGGTCTTGCTCTCAGATTGGCTACTCTGTCTCAGGCTTGGAATTCCGCCACCAGTGTTTTTGCGGAAATGCTATCTACAATGGCGGTACTCTCGCACCATTCGACTCTGACTGCAACTTGCCTTGTAGTGGCAATCATGCCCAGTACTGCGGTGCTACCAACAGAATAAGCGTATACTCGAACGGAACGCTGACGACATATCAACCGGCAGCAGTGCAGACTCCTAGATCCACAACGACCGCCCCTACTATAGCACCATCTCCCATCGGTGCTACATCCCAGACGTCAAAACCAGCTGTCACTGTTGCCGCTGCTGTGGTTGGGGCGGTGGCAGGAATTGCTATCACCGTAGCGCTGGTCTATTACTTTCGTAGGTGGATCAGGAGGAATCGTCTCCGAACGGAGTTTCTACTGCCAACACCCCAAAGGACTGCACAGGCATGGCCACCTGCCGACGGCGTTCCATCTTGGGAGGAGTTCGTCAAAGAAACTGAGGAGTACTACGCGAGATTTACTGAGAGCACTATGCTCTCTAGTAAGGGCGACGGCTCCGGACTTGGCCTTAAGAATATCCCGGCTGGCTATCGTCCCAGTACCCCAGAGCTGTGGAAAATATACGAGCAATTGCGGCGCAAGAACCAAGAACCGTTCCGAACTGGTTTAGGATCTACCGACACCTCTCTTGCGTCGCCAGCAAGCTACTCGCCACCTCCAGAAGCACCCGCCCGAGCACATCGGGGTCAGCCTACGTCTATCCTGAAACGTCCCGCAGTCACGGGAACCGCGAACATGGCCCATGGCATGTTTGACAATGAGGACGAGCACGGCCCGAGGGCTGTTCCTGCCACAAGGAACCTAGCACTAGCCAAGAAAGGCGTCAGGTTCGGGGTAAACCAGATCCGTGAATTTGGCAGGTCGCCGTTCATCGGTCATGGGAGCGATACTTGAACCACGTATCACCGCTATCTGCTTTGTTGCGTGCCTGTGCAGGAGTAGAGAAGCTTTAGAGTCGATGATTATTCTCAGGATCTGGAGTGGGGTTGAGAATCGGAAGGGGGCGTCGAGACTTGGGTTGTCTTGCTATTGCAATGGTTGCGTGGAGGAAGGCGCTGGGTTTTAATGTATATAGAGTCTTACCAGAGACTATGTGAAGGAGAGTCGGACCATGTATCTAGAGTCAGGTGTAAATATGGAATAAATTGAAACTCAGTGCTGAATCTCAAACAATTCTGAGTCTCAGCCCTCAGAGCTCACATGTTGTCACTTTTGCATACGTTTGTGGCTATTGATCAGAACATTAGTGACTGTTCGTATCCAAGAGTACTAAATGAAGACTAGAATGGATCGGGATTCATGAATAGAGGGATAATTTGGCAGGCAAAACTGTTACAATACCAGCCCCTTCGGCTATCGCATACATGTCGCGTATTAGCCACCAGCCACCTGTTTTGTGTACATAAATATCCGTACATCCCATGAATCAACAATCAGTCTTTCAGTCACAATCAATTTCTAACATGTCTGGTATCCTACTTTCAACAAAAACCTGTCAGATTCCGATCCAGGTCCCACAGTGCAATCGACAGGCATGGTCTCCGAATGATTATTCACGAATAGGAATCACTATACTTTGTCGCCGCAGTGGGGCTTCATATCCTCGAGGTTCCCTCTATCCACGTCTTCTGACTTATTCTCCCGCTTGGAACCCTCGCTGGGCTAATCTTCCCCTTATTGCATAAATTCTCCTCTATCCTTTTACGAGAGGCTGTCAATTGTGGACAGAGTCTGGATATTTGAAGCGGCGTGCGGTATGCTTTATGCATTTGGAGCCGGCCGGATTTGGTTACGTCGTCTTCAACTCTTGGTATTCAGTGGCGTCTAAGATGTCTATCAAAGGAGAGTAAGCTATGATTGAGCTACGAGTAGTCTATATATTCGTGAGGTGAAAGTAGCATACGGACGGAGCGCCAAGGACGGTTACTTGAGACTTGCCTTTCCCTTGCCTGATCTATCTAACAACAATATCAGGGTCCATCCCAACAAGGTCACGCAGCATGGATTGGGAGAACAGCACATTGTCGTTCAATATGAGATAAGGAGTTCATCAATTGCAGCGTCTGTGCTGCCAAATTTCCAGGATTGACCAGCAACGAAGATGGCTGAGCAAGTGTGAAACGACCTCGTCACCTCAAATCACATTTCCCAGAGACCGCTCAAGAATCCCTGACATCTCAAGACTTAGACCTGATCGATAGACTTCCCATCCCGTCTTGACAACGGTCTTTTCTTCCACGTCATCTATCTAAGTTCATGCAACGGGCAATTCAGCAAGGTGCTCACTTCACAGGAAAAACCCTCCCGATTCTTGCATCACTACTTCCTAGCCAACCACATGATACACTGCGATAGAACACCATCATCCTATGGGTGCTCGACGACGAAAGACTGTATTACCCCGTCGAGTGCAACCACCGTACATCCTTTGTAGGCAACTTTGACTACCATGACTTAGCATGCGCTGCCATGTGATTGGAACTGAGAATGCCAAGTGTACATACACAAGCGAAAACGCCAAGCTTTCCGATCATATTTGCACACGCTAAACAGCCGCGCGTATGATAGCAATAAGCGACATAGCGCTTTCGAACGCCAGCTTGAAAGTTGTGACTTTTCCAGCCAAGTCAGGGATCATCTCAGCTGGGATTGTTCCAATTGAAATGCCTGTGGCCTCTACCAGGGCATGCGGTTGATATGAACATTCCACCGCCCATCAAGTCGCATCCATCTTGCTGTCTTTGACTTAGCATAAGGCACAAGAAGCATAAGCATGAGTGCTTTTGACTCTTAAGCCTCGTCTTCAAGACTGATATAGACGACGCACAAACTTGGTCTCTTCCACTCTGACCATGTCTTTATCGCCTCAAGCAAGAAGTGATGGTCATGACTATTCTGCATCAGAACCGGTACAGGCAGCCATTCCAGCTTAGCAACCAACCTCCTTGAGCCGATGCGTTCACCAATAGCCTCGAGTCTTTCGAGCGTGCCAGCACGAAAGTTCACAAAGTCCTGCGCCTCAGCAAGACCCATGATGCGTCCGGCAGATCGGTTGTAGTCTCCTGGAGGCCGAACGAGGAAGATAATTCGCGGGAACATTGGTTGGGGGAAAGCGGTGGGGGGATATGTTAAAGATGTGAAGAAGTTCTGGGGCGAAAAATCTGGATGAGGGTCCTGGAATGGTCTATCGGCCTGGGTTGGATGGGGTTTGGGACTCCGGTATGCGGTAATAGCGTTGAAGTCCGATGCTTGTAGCGTAGGCGCCGAGCGTAGGCGCCGGACTGAAAATTGCAGCAGCTGCTGGAATTGCTGGAACTATGTGGGGCGCCAGACTCTGATTGAAGCCCGTTGCTTCCTCATCGTGGCTCGAACTTTCTGGAAAAGCCGCGCGTTCGCTAGCTTCATCGCTTGCTTCTGAGGTCTATTCCCAAACCTTCTCGTCAGTCCATGCGATACAAACCATTCTGAGCCTCAGATCGTGCGGGAATATCACCTTTTCGACGTCTTGCGTGCTAGATACGGGGCCCTCGTTCGTAACGCCTTGAGCTTGATTGTCGTCGCTGGGGTTTCCGTCCAGAAGACTTTTTGCCCCCTTATGTTTCTTGTTCGAGTCGGCGCGATCTAGCTTATTCCGTACGAGTTGTTCAACCCAAGAGGCAATGCTGCTAAATGATGAGCGATCGCGTGCTTTCGTACTATTCATGACTCCGGATGAGTACGTACATCGACTTCTCGGTGGGTTACGTTGGTGCGTGAGGGAAGAGGCTGCCACGGTTCTTGAGTGTCCAGAGATCGCTATACTTGTCTACCCACTCAATTGTTCGGTCCTCGATCCGTTCGTTCAGGCTCTTGGCATGATCAATAGCACGATCTTCTTCTTCGATGGAGTCTATAAGCCCAGCGATGTGTCCATAAACAGTCTTCGCCAAAGCTGAGCATTGACACTTGGTCGGTTTGGGACCCGGCGCAAGCAAACCGAGTCCTTGCAGGCACTCGGTGATCGGTTTTCCCGCATGCATGGTGCCGACCTGTCAGATGTAATTGGATTTGACGACCATGTGTGGGTCGTTATCTGGTGATGGTATGAAGTTCGGCAGTTGGCGTCTGGGGCGTTGAGCAGGTGGATGACCTTGTGCTGAGGAGTTTCGACGACAAGTTGCCGCTAACCTTTTTCAGATTTTGTCCAAGGATTGAACACAAGAGGCGGCCCGCTAATAAAATCAGGTTAGCGGGCTTTTCTGGTACTTACATTGAGATTCGTAAGGTACCAACAGGTCTTTTTCTTGGCGTGGTCTTTTCTCTAGCGTGGTCTTTTTTAAAGTGCTAGTATTATCTCGCTAAACGTCCCACGAAAATTATACGCATAAATAAATTCTAAATAATAATTAACTAGGTCTTAAGGCCTAGTAGCATATAGATAGCGATTTACTATATAGCTTAGCTCTAGAAAAACTCTCTTTATATAAAATAGAAGATCTAGAATCTAAATATAAGAAAATGCTAAAAAAATAAGATATAAATAAATAAAAAAAGTATAAAAATCTCTTCTTATAACGAGAGAAATAAGAATAAAAAGTAAAAAATAGATAGAAATATCGTCTATTTAAGACTCTTTTAATATAATAATCTTAACTATTCTATTATAAGTATATATTATACTCTTATTAATTCTTAATTAAACTATAGCGACTAATATTATCTCGCTAAATATCTTATAAAAACTATATATATAAATAAATTCTAAATAATAATTAGTTAGATTTTAAGATCTAATAATATATAGATAGCGGTTTATTATATAATTTAGCTTTAGAAAAATCTTTAAAATAGATAATCTATATCTAATAGAAATTTATTAGCTTTAAATTATATAAAAACGCTAAAGATAATATAATGCGATAAGGATATAGACTAAATAAATCTCGATATATAAATAATATAAGTTAGACTTTTAACGACTAAGTAGTTAAATCTTATTATTAATTAAGTCGATATCTCTCGCGAAAATAATAATCTCTCTATAAAAAGAATATTCTAAATAATAGTTTAAGTAATTAAATATATATAGAGTATTATATAGCGTAGCGATAATATATTATCTTATAAAGGCCTTATTTAAATTAAATAGCGATAATAATCTACTAATAGAGAAGTGAGTAAATAAGTTTTATAGCGAATAAATAAAGTAAATATTATTATTTATAGTAATAATAGATAGCGTAATCCTTCTTTTAAATAAATTTATTTTTAAGAATAATAGTAATAGCTTTATATAATAGCTATATAGCGTAATTAAATATCTTATAATATATTATTATTCGAAATCGCTATTCTTAAATTTAATTTCAAATTATATAAATTCGCTTATATAAAGAAATATAGTAAATATAAAGTAAAAGAAAATATATAAGATAACTTTCTTAAGGGAAGTTTTATTAAATTAGATAAGAATGTAAAGTAATAAATCTCGCGTAATTAAATAACGTTCTTTAATATCGACCTCGCTATATAATCTATAAATATTAATAATTATCTACTATAATAATAAGTAATAAAAGACCTCGAGATTCTTAAATCTTATATTTATATAAACTAAATAGATATTTATAAGATAAGTCTTAATAGATTTAATCTAAATATAATAATTAATTAAATATACTATTTAGTTAATAAGTAATTAAATAATAGCGAAAAACGCGATAGTTTTTAATAGAGTATAAAACTCGATATAGAAGACCTTCGTTATTTAATAACTACTTCTTATCTTATTAACTAGATCTTATTAGAGATATCTCGTAATATTATAATCTAAAGAAGTCTTCTTATATTATAATTTAGATAGATTACGATTTAATAATTTCTATATAAATTAAGAGCGCTTAACTATAAATATAAGTTAATAATTTTATTAAATTTAAAGCGAGAAAATAAATCGATTAAAGTATTTTACTTAATAGAAATTTAAATTATATTATAAATGATATTATATTAAGTAAATAATATAATTATTTATCTAAGCGATACTATAGCTAATTTATATATAGAACTATTATTAATATTCTCGATAATAATATTATTATTATAATAGAGTGTAAGATATAATTAATATAAGTGAGATAATTATCTACAAATAGCTATAAGAATAATAAGTATCTCTTTAAATTAAATATTCTTCTTACGATAGCGAGTAGCGAAGTATATATTAAATATATTATCTAATTTAAAATAAATAGCGATATTCTCGAGAATATACTCTTCTATTTTATACTTATTAAAAGCGTTTATCTATATAGAATAATAATAACGTATAATTATATAGCGAAGTAGTTATATTTTATTCTATCTAAATAAGAAGATATCTTACTAGCGTAAATCCGCTGCGATTACGGCGATAATATAATAATATTTTTATTTTTTAAATAATACGAAATAGAACCTTCTTAAAAAAGTCTTATTAAAGATTATTACTTTAATAAAGAAGAATAGTAAATCTATTATTAACTTAAGCTCGTTATAGAGAATACTCCGTCTATTTAGAAGAGCTTTTATCGATTTTCTCGCTTTTTTTAACTTATTAAAAAAGAGCTTAACCTCTATCTTCTCGCTATTAAATTAAATTTCTAAAAATTCAATTAGAGTATTTTTTTTATTCTTAATATAATTTATCTTTAAATTATAATTATTATAAATAATATTAAAGTCGTCGCTAAATTAGATTATATTATTATTAAATAAAAGAATAGCGAAATAGTTATCTAAATAGTAAAAAACGATATTTTAAAATAGAATAATAACGAGTATTTAATAAAGGGCCTTAGCGAATAAATTGAAAATAAAGAATATAATATATAAATTAAATAATAAAAATCTATCGATATAATAAAAGCTATTTTAAAAGAAATCTAATAACTAAAAATTTAATTCGGCTATAGAGATATATCTAAATACGTTAATGAGATCTCGCTTAATTATAATTATACTCTTACTCTAGACGAGTAAGATATTAATAGTATTATCTAATATAGTATACTCGAATACTTTATAAATCTTATAAATATAGTAATTAACGAATTATAATCGTAAGAAGAAAAGATTATAAATTCTTCTTTAGTCGTCGTTATACTTTGAAATAAAGTCTAATAAAGATAAAATAAAGTATTCTAAGAATTTTATATCTAATCATATTAAATAATCGTTATTCTTCTACTTTTAAAGATTTTTAAATAATATTTTAAGTATTATAGCGATACTAAAATAAGATTTACTTAATAGTAATTAATTAAGACCTTAATAGCTTATTTTAATATCGCGGGCGATAATTACGAGTAAGGTATTAGCGAATATCTAATTAAGATAATTCTTAAGCTATTTCTTTTAGCCGTCTTTTTTTAATAGATTATATTTTTTTAGTAAAAACTTACTTAGCGAGATAAGTATATATAGAAATAATTTAATTATCGACTTAAGATCTCTTAATAATAATTATAATTAAGAGATAAGAGAGAATCTTATACTTAGTAAGATAATATTAGCGAAGATTTTATTAATATAGCTAATAAAAGAATATAATTAGTTATATATATTATATATATATAGATAGCGATAACTTCGAGAATTATATAATTTATTATAATTAAATTAATTATAATAGAATAATTAAAGATTTTAAATATTTTAATAAGAAAATATAAGAGTAATATTACGATATATCTAAGATAAAGCTTAATTTAAGCGTAAATTATATAATAAATAGACTCTTAATTAAATCGACGAAGGTCGCTATCTTAGAATTCGATTTTCTAAATAATTATCGAATATTCGCTATATATAGATATCGTCTTAATAAAGCTAAAGTCTATTATAAATAAAGATCTTATAAAAATAGCGTATTAATTAAAAGATATAGATAATTAATAGATTAGAAATATAGTAGCGATAATTTAATAAAGCTTCTTAAAGAGATAAAGTAATTATTTTATAGATAAAGAAATATATAATTTAATTATAGACCTCGAAATATTAAAGCAATTTTTTAAGTCTCTTAATTTTCTTATCGTTATTAATAAGATAATTAATAAAACTATTAAATAGCTTATTAAGATATTTAATATTAAATATTTTATAGTAGATTTATTTAATATATTTTAAATTTATTACTTTAAAACGAAGAAGAAGAAGAGCTATTATAAGATTATTATCTTAATATAAAAAGAAGTAACGCGATATTACTTTTATTTTAGATAATATTAATATTTTTTATTATAATAAGATTAAAATTAGCTATAAAGCTTAAAGAGATATAGATAATAATTAAGAAGATAAAATAAATAAAAATAACTAATAGATCGATAATATAGAGGTCTAGAGTATAAGTTAATATATAATAGAGGTAGTTAATTAGCGATAAATATAGATTTTATTAATCTTATTCTATATGCGAGCGAGTTCGTCACGATTTTAAAGTATATTATTTTTATTAATTTATACTTATTTAAGTTTCTAATAAACTAATTATAATTAAATAATATAGAAATTATAGATTGAGTCTAACGAGGTAAGTAATTCTATTAAAAGATCTAGTTAGTAAATAGAAGGTATAGCGAGAATAGATAAGGGGAGGAGTCTATTAGAGGATCCTTTTATAAACGATTTTTATAGAGGTGATGATCTGATGGCGGTAGTCTAATATACAGCTATGGCCTTTGCGGTAGACTTGTAAGAACGTTTAGGGGCTATTAATAATGGCTGAATAGCAACGAGTAAGAATAATGTATTTTCCAAATAAAAATTGCTTTCATCTAATATTAGAAAAGAAAAAGTGTAAAAACCTCTTCTTACAACGAGAGGAATACCGCCTATTTAAGGCTCTTCCAACATGGCAATCTCGGCTATCCTGCTATAAGTGTGTGCTGTGCCCTCACTAGCCCCCAGTCAAGCTGTGGCGATAGTCGCCCGGCTTTTCTTTAGTGTGGTCTTTAATGACTGTCGCTAATAGAACCCGTTTACTTTAGACAATCCTTTTTTTGTAGCTGTCCTTCTCGAGACGTCAACAACATTAGGATGCCTCATGTAGAGTCGTGGCCAAGATCAGGGTGGAGTATTCTCCAGCTCAGTACAGGACAGCTCGATTGCTAGTTCCTATAGAGCTTCAAACGATTACAATGCCGATCTGCTGTGATGCTATCTGATGTCTGACATCGAGTGAGCCTATATTGAACTTTGTGCTCAAGATTATCTCGAGACTTTCAATTCTTCCGTAGCAAAGGTATCGAGACGGTCAGAATTCGATCGTAAAGCACGTATCCTACGGTCCCAGATCGCTTTTCCGCATCTTCTCTATTTACTTGAAGGCAGGGTACAGAAGCCGTTATGGATGACTTCGACTTCTAGCAACGGCAATACAATCCCGTCACCACGAGCTTCTTCCGATACCAACATACACATTGCACAAGCCGTATGCTTCCTTCCAACCGGTCCAATACTTGACGTCCATCAGCGTGATACGATGGCCAGACTCGCCGCTCACTGCAGACCGTTTCGACATCCCCCTCTTGTGAAAAAGGATGTCCTGAGTACGTGCGTTCTCGCCTTTAATTTCGAGCTTGCTAAAGACCACTGCGCGGAAACGAGCATGATTCTAAAAATTCTTGTAAAGTGATCGGTATCATGTGTGCTTTGTCAATCGGACATACATAGACGCAAGTGCACCGTTGCCCCCAAGACTCCTTCCATTAAGCTCTCCAGTCCGGAGGCACCTGTCTCCAAAGTGCCGCGGCCATCAGTCCTCCGCCTTGCCTAGTTCTTTTTGCTATTGCTCGCCTTCTTCTTTGTCCTCTTTCTCGTCCTCAAGAGTGACAAGTATGTGGCAAGACGTATTCCCATTTGTCTTTTGCCATTCTGGCCAGAATTTGACTACCATGAGCAGGTGATAGTGGTCCTCGTTAGTGTCGGCATATACAGGCACAGGAAGCCACTGTAAGTACTCCAGTCAGAAAGCTCATTTTCAAGCTCGAGAACCAAGTCAGAAGACAGCTGCAGTAGTTGATGTACCCCAGCAACGTGTCTTGCGGTTCAAATCAAGGTAGGGATTAGGGAAGAGATGGCTGGGGAAGTTACTTACTGGAACACGGGCAACGATTTCCCGTAAGCCGACCAGCTCGCCCTGAGACTCCAGTCGACCACGTACGCCAGCGCGGAACGTCACGGCATTTTGTGCTTCAGCCAGGCCCATGATGAAGCTGGGACCTTTGCGATTGCCAGAGGGGGTTACTATGAAGAAGATGCGATCGGAAAGCTCAGGAGGGAAGATCACCTGCGGGTGTTCTAGTGTTGCGCAGCTGGAGCTCGGAGATGTTGGAATAGTTGTGGTAGGAGTAAAAAACGTCTGAGTGCCTGTGTTCATGCAGCGTGGAAGATCTTGTGTTGAAGGCGAATCGGATGTGGTTGGGCTCGGAGAGAGTCCCGAAGAGCGGCGAAGGCTATCGTCATCCTCAGAATGAGAAGCCCGAGACTCAGGCTAAAAACGTCAGCAGGAGACCCTTTTAGTCGACATACGGCCTCATAGACTCACATTTGGCACCGGAGGACGAGCAATCTCTTTCCGCAGTAGGGCCATTGCATGGTCGCTAGTTGGACCCGCAATCCTGTACATGAGAGTTGGACTTACGCCTCGGTTGTAAACAGGAGAAGTAGGAAAAATTGCATAATCTGGCGTTTTTTCGGTAGTCCAGTATGGGGATGTCGGGATTATTCCTCCATTCGCAGCAAGAGAAGTGGTGTCAGGACCAGTTATTTGGTAAAGGGAGCTTGGATGTATGCTAGGATTGGCAGCAAGGGATGTAGGAATTACCGCAGGACCGACAGCAGCAAAGGTAGGAGACCCATCAGGAGCGCTCGAGGGCACCATTTCTGTGTCCTGCATGTGTTCTGCTTTGGCGTGATTATAGGCTGCCTCACGGCTCCCGAAGTGTCTGCCACAGCCAAAGCACACCGAATATTTACCGTCTCCGCTACCTTCGCGTTCTTCTTGGCCGGGAGTGTCTGTGGTTGGGCTGGCCTCCACTTTTATAGCAGGAGTAAAAGGCGTGGTCGTTTCTGGAGCAGACGCCGGAGTGGCAGCAGGAGAGTTTGAAACGGTGGGCGACTCAATCTCCTCGTGAAGGACGTGTGCTGTCAGCGCGGCATGAGAGTTTGCCTTGGAACGACTCCAGAAATGTTTACCACAGTCGTCGCAGACGATGGAGTATTGCACTTCATCGACATTTGAATCTGCTGTTTGTGTGTTCAGGCTGGTCTCAAGCGCTGCACGAGAAGTGGAAACCGCGTTGGAACCACTGTGAGATAGGCTTTCAAGTCCTGGAAGCCAGTCCATGTGATCTTTTGACCACGTTGGTGCCATTATCGCGAGAGTAGGCAAGACTGATGGAGAGGTTTGAGTAGGAATGAGGTACTTTCGTGACATGAAGTTGCTTACTGAGAAGCTTCATAGTGGCTAGGTCCCGCAAGCTCAACACATCTTTAAGGTGAGGCATATGGGTGTTGATGCTGAACCTGTCATGTACATGAGAAGAGTCAATTCGTACAAAAGCGTCCCGCTCCTTCAGTGAAGTGAGCCCAGATCATGGAGACAAGGACAATTGTCATAGAGGCAAAAATGCCGTTCTCACCTGTTCTTCCAAGTACTTGAACGGGCCAAAAACTGTCAAAAACCAGAATGAATCCGCACTATATTCAACAAAACCTTCCTGTCTCCACATATGGTACTAGCGAGGCGGCGAAATGATCACCTTGATCCCAATATACCTGGTTGGTCTTATTCCATCGTATCCCCGGAGCCGAAAGTCTCATACTGCAAGAAACCGGCGCTGGCTATGAACCGAGGTAGGATCGACAGGAACCTCGAGTTAAAAGTCGTCATGTATGTTCTCTACCAGTCAAGCAGAATGTGCAATCACTTGAGAAAGCTCCCGCCGACGACCACAACGATGCCTGATGCCCAATTGCCTAGACAATATTCCTTCGGGCTCCCCCTTATCCACAGAATGCTGCTAGCGAAAGATCCTTCTTCATCTGGCGTCCAAACTATCCAACTCGAAGGACATACTGAGTCCTAAGACTAGCATTGCCAATAATATACAAATGTCTTTTTCTTCTCAATGCCCGCCCGTTGCCAAAGAATTTCGTCTTGGTAAACCAAATTGTATACTAATGAGTTATTATATGGCTACCTGAAGCCGTATCTCAAAGAAAGAGAAAATTGCGCGGAAGAGAAGAAAGCAAGTCATGACACAAAACTTCGAGATCAGTTTATTATAGAACAAAGGGAAAGCCAGTCAAAAGGCTTCAAACCTTCTTCAGCATTCCTAGGTGCACTCAATGCTCAAACCAGCTTCGTGACCAGCTTCCCCGTGTTCGCCCCCTCAAGCAGCGACATCCACGTCTTCGGTACATCTTCAAACTTATTATCAACCACAGTCTCATTCTCCTCGCCCACCTTGATCTTTCCTTCCTTCGCCGCTGTCACCATCTCTTTCACAGCCTGCGGCCCCTTTCCTTCCGCCCAAAAGTCCTTAGTGATAACCCCCCTCGATCTCAATCCTATTCGAGAAAACCTCAAACCAATTCTTCAAGGTCGTTTGCTTCTCATTTCTATTATAATCGGTGATAGCCCCACAAGCAGCGATCCTGCCTCCCTGCTTCATCCGCATCAACATCAGATCGAGAATCTCGCCTCCGACGTTGTCGAAATAAACCTCCACAAAGCCATCAGTCGCCTTGACTAAATCCTGCTTAAAGCAGAACTTCTTGTAATTCAGACACACGTCAGCTCCCAAACTCTCGACCCATTTGGCCTTGTCATCACTCCCCGCTATATCAACTACCTTCTTGCACCCCAGCATCTTCTTCGCAATCTGAACGACCATACTCCCCGTAGCCCCTGCAGCTCCACTGACGACAACAGTATCCTCCCTCCCCACCCTCGCTATGATTTTCGTTCCGTAGTAAGCCGTCAAGCCGGTCAAACCGAAAGCGCCCAAATAATGCGTGGCGCTCAAACCGGGGATGTCCTCACAGGCCTGGCATTCCACGGCGTCCTGCACCGAGTATTCCGCCCAACCTGTTGTAGCCAACACCTTGTCGCCCCTGCTGTAATTGGACGATTTGGACTCGACGACTTGGGCGATCGATCGAGCGCGCATGATGCCATCTTGCGGGACTGGAGGAACGTAAAGACGTTCGGTATCGACGTCTTGATAATCCAGGCACGCTGGGCAGGGTCATTGGATATATAGAGCGACCTGACGAGGACTTGGTCATCGTTCAGGGAGGGCAGCGAGGCCGTTTCGAGGGTGAAAGTCTGATTGGGACCAGAGAGTTCGGGGAGATCGGTAGGCTTGTTGGTTAGAACCCACTGGGTTGGGCTGGACATGGTGGATTGTTGGAAGGGTCGGGCGAGCTTTTGGAGATCTACCGGACATGGTTGAGTAGGTGCTGCCAATTGACAGTATAACAGTCCTATCACAGGATTACCCCAAGGAACAAGCGGTTCAAGGTACGCTCCTGGCTCGACATATCTATCGAGCCAGTGAGTTGCCTCCTGTGGAATTGACCTGGGTTTTTAACAGTTAGGTGCCAAATTCTACTACCTGCGGAAAGTGCGGCATAACTGGAACGACGTGAGCTGTGTCAAAATCCTGCAACAGTTTGTCGTCGCACTGACGAGCGATTCCCGGATCTTGATCGACGAGTACGTGCTACCAGAGATTGGGGCGCATTGCCACGTTGCCACGTTCGATCTCGTCATAATGACCTTGTTTGCGGAAAGGAGCTGACTAGAAAGCAATGAAACCAACTTGCTGAACAAGCTGGGTTACGTATATTGTTGGTAAATACCTGGGTATGCAGTTACTGCTATAATGAGACTTATCACTAGATATGGTATTCTTAATGATATTTTAGGAAGAAGGATATCTATGTATAGGGAAGGCCTTTATATATTAATGACTAGGCCGAATGAGTACTAGTGGTAGCGAGTGTTGAGTTATTCTAATACTGGCAAAAACAAAAAGTAAGGCTATTTATATGCTATTAAAAATATTCCTTCTCCGTAGCCTCTATTTACTCGCTTTATTGCGATAGGTGTAGATTTGATTATGCTTAGCGTATTTCTAGTAGTAATAAGAGAAAGATAATCCCTTATTAATCGATATTTTATCTTTTTATTTATTCTTCTAGATCTAGATCTAATTAATTCGTATTTACTAGTCTTTATAATATATTATATTTCTTATTCTTCGTTATCGTATTGACTAGATTCTTATCTTTTTTAATCTAGAGAATCTCGATGATTTTCTATTACTTATAAGATTATCTTAGATATAGAATATCTATTATTAATCTCTTCTTCTAAGTTATCTCTAGCTTAATAAAATATTTATATAAGAATTTTAAGTCTATATATATAAAGAGAGATATCTTTTTTTAAGAAGTATTAGAGAAGATCTAGTTTAGAGTGAACTTTATAATAATTATAATATCGAATCTTAGAGATAATACGTAAAGTTCGGAGATTAATACGCTTCTAGTAACTCGGCGATATTTAATTAATTATTAATAAATGATATTAGCATTATTTTAAGTATTAGTTAGAACTATTATATAGTCGATTTAAGAAGAGAGATCTTTATTATTAGCGAATAACGAATTTATAAAAGTTACGATTCTTAGAGACGTTATATTTAACTTAATAAATATAAGATCTCTTTTTTTCATTTATTATAAAAGATAGCGATTTAGATATTAAGTATTCTTATATATAAGCTCTATAATCTAGACGATATATAATAAGATAAATATCGCTTATAATTATAACACAGTAGCGATATATACTCTTTATACTCGCTAGGCGATATACTATTTTTTCGTAAATAGTTTTATAAGTAATTAAATCTTCTTCGCTTATCTAAGTTAATTAATTCTTATATTATTTTTAAAAGTAATAACGAATTTATTAAATTCGAGAGGTTATTATAAAGTAAGTCTCTCGAATAGCTTAGCGAGTAGTTTAGCGATATATAGTTCTTATAATTCTATATTTATAAACTCGATAATATTGATAATAAGAGAGTTATCGATTTATAAATTAATAATTACTATTATATTATTATTAAATAGTAAATAAGTATTAAATATAGACGAGGTTATTTCTAGCTTCTTTATATAATACTTATAATATATCTAAAATTAGTAAGTATCGAACTTAGTAATATTATAGAGAAAGAGAATAATACGAAATATCGTTTTTAAGAATAATTCTATTTCAACTAGGGTTAAAATAAAGATATCTCTAATTAACTTAAATCGAGATTATATATATATCTAAGTAATATCGCGTAGATATAGAGATAACTATAAAATAACTAACGTTAGAACGATAATAAGCTATTAATTAACTCGTTAAATATTAGTACTCGCAAATAGTAAGACTATATAGAAAATAACGTATATATAAGTAGATATATAGATAGATGCTTAGATATATTCAATACTAAGATAGCTAAGACCTTTCTAAAAATATAAATAATTTAGAAAAGACTTCTTAGCGCTAGAAAAACTCCTATATCTAAGCGATATACTCTAGAGTAAAAATGAAGCTATAGCTATATATAGATGTAAGTAGAAGAGAGAATAATTTGAATAAAGAGTCTATTATAGATACAGTGATCATATAAGTAATACTCGCTATATCCATCTATCTCCCGTATATCGCATATTATATATCGTATAATAATAAGATAATTAATTAAATAGCTACTAACGCTATAGTCTTATAATAAACTTACTAATCTATAATCTTATTATTATAATTAATACTCGTAAATAATAAGACTATATAGAAAATAACGTATATATAAGTAGATATATAGATAGATGCTTAAATACATTTAATACTAAAATAGCTAAGATCTTTCTAGATATATAAATAATCTAGAAAAGGTCTTTTAGCGCTAGAAAAACTCTTAAATAACTTAAGACGTCGTTTAAAGAGAGTAAAGGTCTCGAGAAGAACTTCTAATAGTATCTATCGTAGTAAGTAATAGAAATTAATAATACTAGCGCGAATGGGCTAGAAGATACTAATATCGTAGTAATACTCTAAGTATATAAGTTAAATAAGTAATAATATATAGGCGATAAGAATCTAACTTCTAACGATCTAGTAATTAAATCTCGTTATTACTAAGGTCGATATTATATACTAATATTATAATCTCTCTATAAAAGAAATAATCTAAATAATAGCCCTTAATATTAAATAACGTTAGTATCTCGCGAAGGTTACTAATAACGATCTTTCTAGTAAAGAAAAAGCTCTTTAGCTAAAATAGCGGTGTATTAAATAAAACTTCTTATCTAAAGAGATATCGTAAGACTTTAACTACGTATACGTTATCGTCTAATATAACTACTATAAATATAATCTTATAACGAAATAGGTTTATTTTAAACGCTAGAAGCGTAAGTTTTAAGTAATTATCGAATAATCTTATCGAGCGATATATAAGAAACTATTTATCGAAGTTCTTCTATTAAAGATCTCGCTTACTATAAATAAACTTATCTATATATAGAAATATCGCGAAGATAAGATAAAAGAAGATATATAGCGTCGCCTTGATATAGGTTAATCTATCGAAATAAAAAAGAATTTAAAATAAGAGATTCTTAATAATTAGATATCTTTCTTTTATATCGGCTTCGCTATAAAGACGTTAATTATCTATAATAATATGTTATAATTAAGAGTAATAAAATACTAAGAGATTATCGAATCTTATATTTATATGAACTAATTTAAGGTCAATAAGATATACTTTTATAGACTTCGATTTAACGCGACGAGTGCTTAGATTAATAATTTAGTCTATAAAAATATTTATAATTACTAAAAAGGGTAATTAAATCTTTATAAGTGCGTAATAGATAATATAGAATCTTATTAAAGTCGTATATATCTTCTTAATTTTAATATTAAGTTCTTATTAGAGAAGTCGTATAATCTCTTAAAATAGTATAATCTAATTATATTAATATTCTAATAAATCTCGCCCTATTTTAGCGGAGATATAAGATCTCTCAGCTATGAATATACGTTAGCGATTTTTTAATATTGAAAATATAATAGATTATCGATTAGCTAATTAGTCTTTATAGATATTTAAATAAGTATTATTATAATATTATAAGTAGCTATTAATATAGCTATATCGCGTAATAAGGCTATAGCTAGCTTATATATAGAGGATTTACGTAATCTATTAACGTATGCGTTATTATCGCAGTAGAGAATTAAATGAGATTCTTATAACTAATATAGTTATAGCTTTATCGCGTGATAAACGATCTTTATTTCTTTAAATTATATATCTTTAAAACGATAACGTATGGCTATTTTAATACTAAAAACGTTCTAAAGTTAAATAGATTAAATATAGTCGAGATAATCTAGAATATAGTCTCTTATATCGAATTTTCTAGATATATCGATTTATATATATTACGTAACTCGACTATTAACGTAGCGTATTAAGGCGACGTTATTCTAGTACTTTAGAAAGATATTTTACTATAGTAAGTCTATTCTTATATCGTCTATAATCTATATAATCACCGTAGATCTTTAAAGGATATTAAAAAGTCGCCTTAAGAATACTCTTTCTAGAATTACGACTTTAATAGCGAAAGAGAGAAAATTAATTATTAACTCGAGCTCCTAATATAAGATAGTTATCCTTTTTAAAAGATTTTTAATTATAATTCTCATCTTAGCCAGCTTATCTAAGGGAAGTCTCGCCTATATATAAATATTATTAAATTCGATTTCTAGAAAGTCGGCTATATAGTCTATAATATTCTTTATATAATTAATTTAAAGGCCTAATTCGCTATATAGCTAATCGAACTACTAGACGTATATAATTGCGTTATTATTTAATAAAAGAATTATAAAGAAATTATTTAAGTAGTAAAGTACTACTTTCTATAGAAGAATCGCGATTAAAATTCAAATAAAGGCCTTTATAAATAGATCGAATAGAAATAATAATATACGTAGTTTAAATAATAGATATCGTTCTTTTTAATAGCGTCTATCGCAATTAAAATTAAATAGTTATTAATTTAATATAGTGTTAGATATATATCTAAAGACGTCTTTAAGATCTCTTTTAACGAATTAGACTCTTAAGCCTTTCTATAATAGTATTAAAATTCGAATTATATAACTCTTAGCGTCTTAATAATCATATAACTACGTTACGTAATATACCTTAGCGCGCTTATATTAAGTCGCTCTTTTCTTCTATAGAACTCTTTAATTAATATAATTAAGTATTCTATCTTTATATTTTAATAGATTATAAGTCTAGA